TTACTGTGTCACTCGTGCAAACGTTAAACGGGTCCTTCTTGAATATATATAGCTAGCATCAGATGATGGGCCCCTATTATGTTCGCATGTAGGTACGATTCCTATTTTCTTGCATAAGCGTGGGTGCGCTCCCCTTCTATTGCATCGTATTCGTATATAACCAAAAATACGAAGATAGGCTCGATGATTTACCACGCTTTTGCTCCAGATCTTTAGAATCTAAATCTCGATTCAGATCGGCTGATATATATATATATATATATATATATCGGACCCTGGGAAATTTCTTCTCTTTTCAGAAATTTAAATCTCCTTTCATAGATTTTTGATATAAAATTCATTTCAAAAATTGGAGAGATGATGCTTCTTTATTGAATGATGTGTTAGATGAGCTTCTTCCTTAAGAATTTTTTCTAGTATATATCTCTAGAGGAATTAGGGTAACTGGCGAAATTTTGACAATAAAAAAAATATTAAGTAATTCTAGTTGAGAGTTCAAAAATATTTCCCGAATTGAATATTAAGTAGATATTGAGTGATTTTTGGTTTTTTTTGGTGAGCCTGTATACCTTACGAAATTTTTATGTTTTATATCTTAAAGTATTAGGGTAATTTCAGCGGATCTATAACAGTAAAAATAGTAACAATTCAAGGCGAAAGATGAAAAATATATTCCGAATTTAATATTAAGCAGATTAAGGAGATTTTAAGGTTTTTAATGATGATAGCCTGTCCCTTATGAAGTTTTTCTATTTTATATCTTAAAGCATTTGAGTAATTTTAGCAGAACTTTAATAGTAAAAATAGTGATAATTCAAGGCGAGAGTTCAAAAATATTTCCCGAATTGATTATTAAGTAGATATTGAGTGATTTTGGATTTTTTTTTTTTGGTGAGCCTGTTCCTTAAGAAATTTTTCTATTTTATATCTTAAAGTATTAGAGTAATTTTAGCGGAACTATAACAGTAAAAATAGTGATAATTCGAGGCGAGAGTTGAAAATTAAATATTTAAAACATTAATATTTAAAAAATTTATTATTAATGCAGATAATAAGGAGATTTAGGTTTTTAATGATGAGCCTGTTCCTTAAGAAATTTTTCTATTTTAAATCTAACATAGTATTTGAGTAATTTCAGCGGTACTATAGCAGTAAAAATAGTGATAATTCAAGGCGAAAGATAAAAAATTTATTCCGAATTTAATATTAATGCAGATAATAAGGAGAATTTTGTTTATAATAATGAGCGCCTGTTTCTTAGAAAGTTTTTCTAATAGTTCAAATCTATAAAAAATATGGTAACTTTGGCGAAGATTTTACAATAAAAATAGTGAATATTTATCTCGAGAATTGGTAAATATTTCCTTAATTTAACTCAAAAGTTGTAAAATATTTCCTTAATTAAATATTCCGTTGGTGTCTTCCCGATTTTAATTCTTTATGATGAATCTTTTCCTTAAAAATTTTTCTAGTTCAAATATATGTATAAGAATTAGTGTAACTTTGACGAAGTTTTAATAATAAAAATAATTGAATCTCCCCTTGAATATTCAGTAATATTTTCTAAATATTCACAAGGTATAATTTTTCCCAAATGTAAAAAACAGCTCCTAATGAAAATTGATTAAGATTTACAACGGATTGAACGACTTCATCGCATCACTTCTCTTTCTCTCTCTCTCTCTCTCTCTCTCTATATATATATATATATATATATATATATATATATATATAATGACGACACGTCTCACGGGAATTTAGAAGCTATATACAAGTTGAAAAATCGAAAGAGTACGTTACAAGACCGTTGGAAGTTACCATTTTTTTTCTCTCTCTCCTATACTTTTGCAGCCTTTGCGAAAAATCCGTTAACGCCGTGATTCGAAAATATAGCGTCAATTTCTCCTTCTTGTTTCTCTTCTCAAGAATAATCATTCCCCTTCTCTTTCTTCTTCTTCTATCCCTTCTACTGAGCAAAAAAAAAAAAAAAATATCCATCTTTTACACCTTTTCTCGCACACACACACACACACTCCTGACTTTAAGAACATAAAAAAATCTGTCTTTGCCACAGAAAATGTATAACGGTTTTGCACCTTATCTTATTGCGTGAAAAAGGGTGCGCGCGTCTATGGGAAATGTCAGGACCTGCTCTCTCGGTGAATCCACCAAAAAAAAAGGGTAAAAAAAAGAAATGAATCGAGGAATTCTGAAAGAGAGAATTCACCCCAAAAATTGGTCACCCCTCGAAACCGAAATGACTTCTCACGGAAACCTAATTTTAGTAAAAAAATGTGAAAAAAAAGGTATATATAGAGAAAAAGAGAAGAGAGAAAGAAATTATCAAGGGGACAGGATAATTTAGATGCAAATTCATCAAAAAGGGGGATTTTTCGTACCTGCAAGAGGATTCTTATATTCAAGAATGGAATATCTTTGCTTACGATAGAGATAAGGGAGTGGGGCGAGAGCAACTGAAATTTTATCGCATATCCGTCAATATGGCCTTCTCAATTCTTCTCAACTATATAAAGACTTCACTACCTGTACAAATTTTTTTTTTCCAGCATTTTGGGGGAATCTGCGCGTCAGGTAAAAAAAAAAGCATAAGATTTGGGGAGATCAAGAAGAATCTGTTATATAGGGGTATATATACGCACTGGCCTTGCAATCCTCTGTGAGATCTGATGGATTTTCAAATTTTTTTTTCTCTTTCAGTAGTCTCTACCTGTACCAAGTACATATACAATTTTTTTTTTTTACTCCAGAAGAATCTCCCAGGATGGGAAATTTTCAAATTTATGGTCATGCGAATATGCTAAGCGATTTTTTTTTCAAATCATCTGTTTCCCACATTTTTTTTTTTTATAATTTATTTAGAATTCAAGATTTTTTTCAAATATTTACTTTTTTTCGTCTAGTAGCCATTTTGGATTGAAAATATCGAAAACCCTTTTCTTTGCGGATAAAAAAAAAAAAATTATACGTCGTAAATTCAGCTGCCAAAAAGTAGCAGAGGGGTTGAATTGGTCGCGGTGTATCAAAATAATTAGAATTAAAAACCGTTATGCGCGACTGAGTTACACGTGCGTGAATTTTTTTTGGCCAACATACACACACAGATTTAGAGAACAAAATGATCCGTAAACCATAAGCTCGTTTTCTCGATCGATAAATCGGTTCCAAACATAATCGGACTATTATATTTCAAGTTAGAATGAGCGAAGGTCATAGAGAAAAATTTTTTAGAGGAAAATCAGAGGCGAGTGAAAGAGAGAGAGAGAGAGAGGACAAAAGAGAATAGGGGTCTCTTTAGAATAAAAAAAAAAAGGGGTGGCGAGGGAGGCCGTCATAAGATACGATGATGGATGCCCGAAGGGTTGTTTTGCAAGGTATACGAGAGGGCCGTGCCGATGGGCAAAGGGTTTTCTCCCCCCCTGAACCAATCATGGTAACGAGCCAACGGAGGACGAGCCAATAGGCCGGCTTCATCTTTCCAAAGTTGGTGGGGGTAGTTTGCCCTTAGGGCCGCCGTAGCGTTGCGTCACTCTGACATTCACTCCGTGTCGGCCTCACCGTCAAGAATCGAAGTGGCAAGTGCCCAAAATAAAAAATTTTCATAATTTTTTTTTTTCTATTCAACCATATCAGTGAACGTTTTTAATAATTTAACAATTATTTATCAAATAAATTTAAATATTCAAAATAAATTAATTTCTATTTAAATTATTTAAATTATTATGGTAAATTAAAATTTTTATTTATTTATTTATTAATTATTAATTTCAAATGAATTTAGAAAAAAAAAAATTCAAATATAGAGAAATTTTTTTTTAGTTTGATTATGAATGACTTGAAAATTGTGTTAGAAAATAAAAAATGAGTTTAAAAAAAAACCAAAAAGTGAGTGTTTAGTGATAGACGATATTTGTGTGCAAAAAAAAAAAACTTTTTTACGTTTCATCAATGGATTTTGAATTTTCGAATACTGGATTTAGCGAGTAATATCAATGTGGGAGTGAAGAGTGAAGAGTGTTGTGATTTGAAAATGGTCTTTCTTGAAGACCCAAAAATGATTTTTACCGATATGCGTCTTCATGCTACAAGCACACCAACATCAACGCCAACGAGATTCCATCATCATCATCGAAAATATAGGGCGCAAAATAATAACGATTGTACGAATTTTTTTTTTATCTAAACTTTTTTCAAAATTGGGATTTTTTTAAAATACTCCCACTTTTTTTTTAAATATTTTCTATTTAAAAGAATTTCGATCAATGTATTTTTTAAAATAAATTATATATTAAAAAAATGTTTAAAAAAATAATTATCTAATTTTTTTAAATACATTTTTTTTTTAAATTTTGATATTTAAAGTTTTCGGAATTGTATTAGGAAAAAATTTATTATCAATAACTAGAAATAGTTTAAAAAAGTAAAATCGAGTGTAAAATATAGTTTGAAAAGATTAACGAATACATTTTTTGAAATAATGTAAAACGAAATAGAAAATAAATATCTGTATAAATATTATTAAAATTATAATTATACCATTCATATAAATTTATCTCAAGTTTATTGGGTTCTTTTTAATTCTAATTTTACACTCAGAGAAAAATTTTGTTTGAACCAAATATACCACTTTTTTTGTATTACCACAATTTTTTTTTGTTATACTTTAAATAAAATTTATTTAATTCAAATAAATATTTATTTTATCTAAATTATAAGTTTGGTTAATTTTAATAAATTTTTCGAATGAAGAAAGAATTTTATTGAGCCAAATAAACTTTTGATTGATTTAACTATGAAAAATTAGTTGTATATAGCAAATAAATTTCGTTGATTCAACTAAAACATTTGTAACTTGTATGACATTTTTTTCTGAGTTTATATAAATTAAAAGATATTAATTTATCTTTGAAAGATAGTAATAAGGAAATTTTTTTAAAAATTTATAAAACTTAAAGACTAAAGAAATAATTGTATTGTTGCAGATGCTGATTTGCATGGAGAAGTCGAAGGTCCTGAACTTAGTGGTGATGACAGAAGTATCGCCAGTGACGTTCAGGATGCAAATGAACCACATTTGGACCACGATTCCATTGACTCTGATAGGGAGGCACTTAATTTGGTAAGTTTCAAATAAAACTATCAAATTTTCTTGAATTAAATTTTTAAAAAAATTATTCAAAAATTAAAACATACTTTCTGTAAATTCTAATTTGTAAGAATTCATTTACTAATTCAGATTAGTACAAATTTTCACTAATTTTTAGTAAAATATTTACTAATTTAGTAATAATTTGTAATTTTTAGTAATATTTTTGTTTTACAAAAAGTTTTAGTCGAAAATGATTAAAAATTAGTAGAAATTTTAGCTAATTTTTATTAAAATATTACTATTTCATTTAGCATTAACTACTTCTATTTAATACTATTTACTAATTTTTTTTAGTTAAAAATGACTATAAAATTAGTAAAAATTTTCACTAATATTTTTTTTACTAAAATTTTAGTCAAAAATGACTAAAAATTAGACGAAATTTTTACTAATTTTTTAGTAGAATATTACTATTTGATTTAATACTATATACTTACTATACTTTTTAGTACTATTTACTAAAGTTTTAATGAAAAATTAGTATAAATTATCATTAATTTTTAGTAAAATATTACTATTTGATTTAGCAATCAATTCTACTAAAGTTTTAGTGAAAAATGACTAAAAGTTATTAGAAATTTTCTCTAATTTAAATAAGTAAACGAATTCTCAGTAATTTAAATTTAGAGATTATATACACATTGGGTCACAAAAAAAACTTCAAAATTTCAACGCAGTAGGTTAATAATTATTATAATTACTAAAACAAAAATATTCATAAAATTTTAAATGTTGATCGTCTTGAAATTTATAATACATTTGTATATATGTACAATATATATAAATAAATACAATTCTCCGAATGAAATCTAAAACTAATAAATTGTATTTAGTTTCAAAGAAAAAGATTAATTACTTTCGATAAATAAAGCACGATTTTTCCTTAGAATTCCAATTTATTCGCTCGTTGGAGGTCGGCTTGTGCGCAAAAATAAAAATACTACGAAATTATTAACCTTGGAGAGATAATTGATTCTCCCTATGAGAAACACTCATGCGAGACTCTCTTTCTCTCTTTCTCCAGGGTTAATCCTAAACATGTCATGCAATACAGGCCGCGCATATAAGTTTGCAGGTGCTTTCGTGTTCACAAATTACAAGTTTCTTAGTTTGTATGCGTATATATGTATATATATATAGTTATAATTGACGCACAATTGACACCTTAATATTTTCAAAATCAACGGAAATAATTAAATTCATTAGTATTAAATTTGCAAAATAAATTAAAGTAATTTTAAAAAGGAAAAAATTCATATAGGATTTAAAGAAGAATGATGTTAATTTATTTCTATAATAATAACAACAACAATAAAAATAGTAACAATAATAATAATAAAAACAGTAATATGAAAAATGAGAAAATATTAAAACTGAATAAAAAATTGATAAAATTGTACTGATTTTAAGTATTTAAAACAATTGAAATTGAAAATTAGAAAAATGTATAATCAGAGTAGAAGAGTGGTATTGATTTGCCGGCCTCATTCTGAGAAATAGACTTTTACCTTCTAGAGAGAGAGTATCTTTTGTTTGAAGATTTCCGCCACAGGTGTTTCTGGATTATGGACTCCCTAGGTAACTAATTAGTGTCCAACAGGTGATGAAGGCCCTTCTTCTTCTTCAGGAACTATATATATATATACCATATATGCTCACGAGAACTCGAGACTTCGAATTAGAGAAAATTGTTGGCATCTCCCTTTAAATTTGAAATTTTGATCGTTAGCATCCATTACAATCGTCTAATTAATACTATCGCCAACAATCATAAATCCTTTCTTCTTTAAAAATCACCCTACATATAAGTAACGAATACTAAAATACTTTCATTTTTTCGCAGTATGGATATTATTATAAAAACAAAATATTTCAAAATTTTTAAATTTTACAAATCCTTGCGAGGATTTTGATAAAATAAAGATCTTGTTTCCTGAATGGAGAAACATCTGTCGAGATCAAAAAGTCGGATACATCCCCATATCGACTATGACGATGGTCCACCCTCGAGTCGGGCATAAAAAGTGCACGAGTTCAATATTTGAGAAATAAATAAAAGCGGACATTTCTAATAGAGAGAGAAGGAGAGGGAGAGAGAGGGTTTAGAGGAAGGTTTTATAAAACACAAAAGCCCGGAGTGACCAATATCCTGACCTGGCCGAGTGTAAACACCGCTTTGTTCGACAGCGTTTACTTTACGATATTAGGAAGGGTGGTTCTTCTGATTTCTGCGATGTTTCCACGATACAAATTCTCATCCACTAAAAGTTGAAAAGCCTCTTGAAAAAAATTGTCTCGAATAATATATATTTACATTTGAGAATTTAACTTCATCAAGAGATCAACATATTGTCTTATCACTTTTCTTTAGTACTTTCTTTACTAGTTTCTTCAGTTTCTCTTTATGTATAGAAATATTTTTTGAATTATAATTTAAAAAATTGTAACAATAATTATTATTATAATAGGGAAATAAAAATATTTGTAATTTTCTCCTTACAGGTCACGGATGTCTCGCACAGAAATAGTAGCAGTGGAACCAGTGGCAGTGCATCGTCACCAAGTTCAGGAGTGAGTAGTCAACTAACCGGAAGTCATGCGGGTAACACCGTGGGTTCACAGGCGGCATTAGCGGCTCAACTTGTTGGTCAACAGCTTCTTATGCATGGTTCACTTGGTGCTCTAAGTCCACAGGAAATTCAAGCTTTAGCATCAACTCTTCAGCAGCAATCACTTCAACAGCAACTTCAACAATTCGCCATGTTTCAACAAGCGAATCCGGCGGCAGCGGCGGGACAACTTCCCGCGCAGGCTCAATTCTTCCTTCAAAATCAGGTTCGTAAATTGAAATCCTCCATTTTTCTGCAAGGATATATATATATATATATAGAGAGAGGAGAAATCTTCCAAGCGGAAGTTCTCGAGGGCGTACAATTCCATTATCCCCCTTTTCGCGAATAGCTACTCTAAGAAATTAGATTTTGTCCTTCCATTTAGAAAAGCGTGATCCTGATAGCAACAAATTCTTATCATATTACAAAAATTATTCATCATTAATATAAAACAACTTTTGCTAAATAGTCCTAATCTCGTAAACGCCTGTATCCAAATAGTCGTATAATCTTTGAAGATTTTAGAATTTTCACTATAACAATTAAGAGTTTCAAAACTAGGTATTCTAAAGACCCTTCAACTTTCTCAATATACAAAAAATTGTTAAATTTATAGTCATTCAGTGTTAGTCGAAACATTCCCCTTTTACATTTATATTCTTACTTGAAAAGTGATTTAACTTCATTTCAAGTTCTTTGAAATTCATTCAAGAGGTCTTCATTTTGAAAAATGTTTATAATTTGTGCATCCATTGGATGGAAATTTATTATCATTCTCTTTGAATGATTCATCGAGACGATCCTCTCTTCTATTCGTTGGGAGAAAATTATATCTAGAATAAAAAAAAGGAAAAAAAAATTCTCGATTGTATATATCGTATCGACACTAGCATAATGCGAAGTTCCGACGAATGAATAGGTTAGGTTACATTTTACTAAAAAAGTTTTTTTTCAATGGTGTTGCATCTATATATGAACAGAATGAAGGCGATGCAATATAGGGGAAGAAGTAACAAAACGACTTTGCTTCTAGCAGATTTAATAGGGATTCGACCTGGAGCTCATGTGCCTCATCTTTTCAAAATAGGTATACGCGATTCGTTAAGGGAAACCTACGCGGCACCTTGCCGCGGGCTTTCTTTGTTACCTAACACGTGGCTAGGGTGAAGAGTTCTTTTTTTATTCATGTATATATTTCTTTCTTCCCTCATATATATATGGTATAAGAATCCTTCGCCTTAAATGCCGCTTGTGTCAAATTTTCCAACAGACACACGACCTTCACAAGACTCAACCCTTTTCATGAACACGCGCTCAACCTGTTTCAAAAAGGCTCAAAAAAAAAATTCGATAATATTCTTGCCCTTCCGGTTTAAGGGTTTTTCATAATAGGCTATTCACGAATCTTTATCGACACATTATGTCACATTGGTGTATAGTAATTTAATACTTGAATATTAAATTTACCAGCTGCTCTGTCATCGTACGATTTAATATACGATTAATTATGTCAAAGTAAATTATTCATCATTAATATAAAACAAACCTTTTTTCCAAATATACACTTAATCTTTACAGAAGAGTGTATTTATGACCTACAAAAGAAATCCTTGCTTTCCTGAAAAAAGAAACACATAATTAATTCATTTATAAAAATTGTCACTAAACATAATATAAAGATCAGAATTTAAATTTTTATACCTGATTTAATCCCTCTATGTAAATCCAGTGTAAAGTTATTGGTGACACCCCTCTTTGGTGATAATTCGATTAGCAGGCAAATATGTTAACTGAATCCGCACTTGATTTACCTGTGAAAGCATGTCAACACAATAAAGGTCCTTGTTATTAGCAAACACGCGACCATTCGAAAGAAAGCAACCCTTTCGCCCTCCCCTCATCGAAGGTATACATATGCAAGGGTTCTTGGTATTCACGCAATAACCTGTCACAGAACCCGCACGTGGCCAAATGTAAAGCACTTGAATGGGGCGCGTCTACATAAATAAGCATATAAAGTCTGTTGGTACGACGACACGCGACCTGACCAAGATCCAAAAACCCTTCTAGCCCGAAAAAAAGGGCGCCTACAGGAGAGCCACACACTTCCCTAAGGTTAATTCTCTCTCTAAGAAAAGGGTGAAGATAATCGATTAGTACTCTTTTGCCTAACTAATCTCCTATAGCCAGAATCAGTTTCTTTTTTTACATTCATTCATCAAAAACAAAAGGTCATAAGAAAGAAGAATTAAAAGAATTAAAAGTATTAAAAGAATTTAGAAAATAAAATTGTAAAATAAAAAATTATTTATTAAAAAAAGTTGGCATCTTGCAGGGGCTGTTGCAGAGCGGTGGCTACCCCCCGAGACCAAGTCATCCGCGCTCACAGTCCATGCAGGTACAAAAGCTTCCCACAGTGCTGTAAATTGCTTTTTAACTTTTTTTTCCACGATCAAAAAAACAGCATGAAAGAAACAATTTTTTTTTTAGTAGCTAAGATATAGAAAATTCTATCTCTCTAGAGTGACTTTCAAAAAAAAAACTTGATGATTTCTAATGATGAATATTTCTTTTGCAGGTACAACAGGCTGTGGCACAAGCGACGCAGCAGCTGCAAGCATTGCAGAAGCAACAAGCACTTCAGGGTGGTGGTGCACTCGTTGGTAGGAGTTTAGTGCAACAGCAACAACAACAGCAACGATCACCACCACCACCAGGAACACCGCCAGCTGTTAAACAACCACCGGCAAGATTGGAACCATCGCCTGAAGAAACAACAGATCTTGAGGAACTTGAACAATTTGCAAAAACATTTAAACAACGACGAATTAAATTAGGTTTCACTCAGGGTGATGTGGGTCTTGCAATGGGTAAACTTTATGGCAATGACTTTTCACAAACGACAATATCAAGGTTTGAGGCATTAAATTTATCGTTTAAAAATATGTGCAAATTGAAACCATTATTGCAAAAATGGTTAGAGGACGCTGATAATTCATTGAATAATCCAAATTCATTAACGAATCCAATGACAACGCCTGAAGCTATTGGAAGACGACGTAAGAAGAGAACATCAATTGAGACGAGTGTTAGATTAGCATTGGAGAAGGCATTTTGTCAAAATCCAAAACCAACATCTGAGGAAATTACAATGTTGGCGGATAGTCTTGCAATGGAGAAGGAGGTGGTTCGAGTTTGGTTTTGCAATAGGTTGGTTGAAAATTCATTTTTACTTCTTTCTTCAATACTGTTACACTATTTGGATAATACTATACTATTTGGATAAAACCACCTAGGAATAATTCTAACGGCTCTGCGGATTTTTTAGGCGTTAATTTAAATTTAGAATTTCTTTTTCCTTCTTTCTTCACTGTTTGTTAAAATTTGGAATTCCTTTTTCCTTCTTTCTTCAGTACTGTTAATAGTTGCTTAAAGTTTTTTTTGGATAAGTTTGGCGTCTACAGATAATTCTATATAACTTTGCGGATTTAGCAGACGTTAGTTAAAATTTAGAATTTTTTTTCCTTCTTTCTTCAGTACTGTTAATGGTTTCTTTCACTTTTTGGATAAGTTTAGCGCCTACGGATAATCATATAACGACTTTGGGTGTTTTTTTAGACGATAGTTAAAATTTTTAATTCTTTTCTTATTTTCCCTTCTTTCTTCAGTACTGTTAACTGTTACTTTCACTTTTCAGATAATTCTAAAGCCTACGGATAATTCTAACGCATTTTCGTGTTTTTCATGTGTTATTTAAAATTTAGAATTTTCTTTTTTTTCTTTCTTCACTGCAGTTTTTAGATAAGTTTAGCGCCTACGGATCATTCGAACGCCTTTTCGTGTTTTGGAGGTTTTAATTAAAATTTTTAATTCCTTTCTACTTTCCCCTTCTTTTTTCAGTACTATTGATATTATTTGACACTTTTTGGATAAGTTTGCCACCTCTAACGATTATTTTTCTTTCCAGGCGGCAGAAAGAGAAGCGTATCAATCCACCGTCAACAATGGGAAGTCCAACGATGACATCGCCATCGCCCTCGGTTTTTGCCTCACTAGCGGGTAGCATGTCGGGAAGTCCATTGGCATTGACGACACATTCGACAGGAATTGGATCACATCAAACACCTCTTGGTTCACCTCTACCATTAGCTTTAGTGGCTTCTTCAGGTGGAAGCTATCATCCTCTAACTGGCAAATCTCACGAGTGACACAAGCCTCCCACCCAACAAGGGGACGCACTTTTTCATCATCATCATCCACATCATCATCATAATCAACAACAGCATTCTCAACAACGACGATTGTGCAATCTCCCAGAGTTTTATCACTAATCGTCGCAAAGAAAAAAAAAGTGCTTTGTGTGTGATCGAATGTCACTGATAGAAAAAAAAATAGGTATACGATTGACTTTCAAGAGTGAGAGAAACAGAGTAAGTACCAAAAAAAAAAAATTGTCAAAATTGACTGGTCATTAAAATGTTTGAACTTGTGAGAATTTGAAATTTTCGAAATGTGTTGTTTTTTGATCAGATCTCAGCAAGATGTGACAATGTACATAGGGTAGTTAAGTTTTGTTGTTGTAAAATGCCATGTCGAAAGAAGAAAAAGAACTGAAAATGTGAAAAAAAAGGTCCAATATGGATACGAACCTTGGCAACGATGTTCCGCTTCTTTTATCCCTCGTTTCAGGGTTCGTCTCATGGACACAAAACAAAATGACCAGTTTTTATATACAGAATCATTTATATATATATATATATAAAGATCATAACTTGCAAAAGAGACAAATGAAAACTGGTAATACACGAGTGATGGGATTCTTTTTGATATTGTCCAGAGAGAAAGAGAAAGATTTCATCTTAAGGTATTACAATCAAAATTACCTATATCAGTATTACCTACTATTCCCAACAAGTAATTCTAGCAAAATTTTAATATTATTAATAGAGCGAGAAAGAGAGAGAAAGAGAGAGAGAATGTGTGTAATTCCCCCACCTTTAGGATTTGTATACAAATTCTTTTTTTTTATATTTCTTTTATTCTCAAAATTTGAATTCAATAAAGGAATTTTGAAATTTTGTTTTTGAAAAAAAAGAAGGGGGAAGAAGAAATTTGCAAGTATACACAATCGAAAAATTCATTTTAACTCACAATGTGTTTCACATCTTCTGGATTTTTTGACCAGAATATTATTGGCACTGCGAGTTGTGCATATTTTAAAAAAGAGGCTATCAACGAAATCTTTTTCAACACGACTGTGTAAATATAAATTTTAGACTACTACATCCCTCACAAAAAAAAATCTTACATATCTCTGTGTCATAAGATTGTGTAAATATTTCCTCTCCGCTATATACAACGGGAAAAAAAAATTTCCAAAAAAAAAAAAAAACAATGAAGAAGAAAAGAAAGAAATGTGATCACTATGTACGAAGCATGTCAGGAAATTAATGATAATAATTAATTAATGTTTTTCATTCGATAAATGGTGGCAAATTCGTCAGTATATGGCTCAAGGATTTTTAAATTTAGAGAAAATTAAATTTTTTCTAAATTCAAGAATGGCAAAATTGTGTTCTTAGTTCAGAAAATTTTAATTTTGAACAATTTTAAAGTTGAAACAAACTACTAAAATGGAATTTTTTTCTCAGTTCAAAAAAAGGTGATAAAAAAAAAAATTTCTATGATTCAAAAATAGAAAATAAAAACTGAAACTTTTATAAATTCAAAATTGAAATTTTTTTGCAAAAAAAGAAAAACTGAAAATTATCAAAGTTAAAAAAAACTAGGCATTTAAAAAAAAATAATTAAAAATAATTTAATAAATTTAGAACAATAATTAATTTCTTTTTATTCCCCCCCCCCAAAAAAAAAAACTGAAAATTTTTCTAAGTTCTAAAACAATTTTTTTCTGATATAATAATTTATTTAATTTTTTTAAATTAGAAAAATTTGCAGTTTTTCAAAATGAAAAAATTTTGCAATTCTGAAGAAGAAATTTTTTTAAAATAAATTTTTCTGTTTTTCTATAATTTAAAAAAAAAAATTTCCATTTTGTCTAAAAAGAGTAATTTTTTCTGCTCTTTTTTAAGATTTGTGAAAAATATGCAGATCATTTTAAACTTTAAAATGTTTAATTTTTTTTTTTTTTTTTTTTTTTTTGGTAAATTTTTCTAACTTTTTTTGAACTTTTTTGAAAAACATTTTCCATTCTTTCGTAGAAATGCAAAAACAACGCTTACACTAGTCAATGCTTGAGCTACTGACGATAAAAATTCCTAAATTTTCCACTTCATTTCATCGACAATTAAAATTAATTTCAAATCATCTTTTTATTTTTAATTTTTAACAAATTTTATCTTTAATTCCATAAATCAAAAAATTGTATAGAAAAAGTTTTTTTTTAAAAAAAAAACGAATATAAATAATTTTTCAAAATAGAATTTTTCAAATTAAAATGAATGAAAATCATTTTTAAATACATGAATAATTTCCAAGAAATTATTCATCTAATCTTCCAAAAAAAAGGCTATGACCATGCGGAGTACATTTTTAGCGGATATAAATGTATTTATAAATAATCTATACATAGCGAAATATATCATATAGTCTGATAAGTACGCGAATCGTCTGTACGTATAAATATTAAAAAAAAATAAATAAATGCATATATATAAATACACAGAAGTGAGGAAAAATGTAAATATTAGAGAAAAAGATAGCGAATCGACTTATTCGTCGACTGACTCAACATCGTTTATAATATATATATATATATATATATATATTATATATATTATATATGGATAACGATGTTTTTTTTATCGATGATAATTGTCGCGCGATAAAGAATTGTAAATTTTTGTGAAATTTTCTATAACTATATATATATATAAATATTAAATTATGTGACGCGTGTACAATTTTTAAATGGGCGGTCTATTGTTGCATTGGGACGATAATTTCAGCAACGAATTCCATATATAGACGTGGACCAAGTTATTAGTAAAAAAAAACGCATAATTAAAAATACTAAAGTTCCTAAAAAAAAAAAAAAATTACACTTTCGGTGTAAGTTGTACGCATTTTAAAAAAATGTATATTTAAAATGTGTATAAAAAAAAGAGAGAGGGACTCAATTATAATTATTGACAGCGTTTAATTAATAAATTTTAATTATATATTTAATTTTCTTCATACGCGGGAAATAATTGTCAATTTATTATTCAAATTCATGTACAAAAAAGAGAAAGAAAAAAAAATTGACATATTAATTTTTGCTATACGCTTTGTTAATAATTAAATCGTGATCTGTAGATATAATATAATGAAAAAAAAAAAAAAGAAGTCACGTCCCTCTCTTTAACAACACGCGGCGTTTCATTAGACACATTATTATAATAGCAATTATTATTATATATTATATTATTAATAATATTATTTCAGTATATTTTAACTTTTATTATTTGAAAATAAAATACGGAGATTTCAGTTGGTTCATTAATTTTTTTAGTCATTTATTTTTCATCCCTTTTTTCCTGATGTCCTTCATTTTTTTTTAATTTCACTGTTAGTTTTTTGTTTTTTATTTTCGTTGAATTTAAAAATAAATATTTATGTTGTTATATTAGTAGTGAAGTTTTGTTATAAATAATATGGTTGATTCGTCATTATGTATATATATATATATATTTGTAAAACTATCAGATGAAAAATTTCGTTAAAATTAATTTTAGAAATAAAAATTTTGCAATTATATACTTTTTTGTATAAATCGATTACGTTCACTGGTTTATTGTTTTTGTGAATTGGAACGTTTTTTATATAAATATATAATCTGTCACCGTCCTGCCGTTTCCGAAAAAAAATTGTAAATATAAAAAAATAATCGAGTAGTGACGTTAAAATTTTTTGACAAAAAAAAAAAAAATTGTAATCAGGTGTATTGTAAAACAAGTTTCGTTAATACGATGCAAAAAAAAAACTTAAAAGTTGAGCGAAACGAATAATGAAAAAAAAGGAAAAAAAATGTCTTGAGTGATTTTAGGAATAGTGGACTTATAAAAAAAATGAATGTATAATATTCGTATTATAAAGACAAAAAAAAAAAAAACGAGTAAAATTTGTAAAATGGATTTCATATTTCGAAATTCAAAGAGGTGGTGACGGTGTATTTTGGAAAATCAAATTTCCAAAAAGAAAAAAAAATTCGAGCACGGTATGATAGTTCTTATACAGTCTTTAATGAAAAAAAAGATGCAAAACTTCCTACATAGAATATAATTAAATATTTTCTACTAAGAATAACAATGTTATTGAATTAGAAAAGGCAGAGGGTATGGGGAAAAAAAGGTACTAGCGATTTTAGGGAATAAAGCTTCGAAAAATGATTTTTCACGCTTTTTTGTGGAGAATTTTAAATAAAAATAAAAGCAACAACAAAATAACAATAATGAATTTTGAACCTTTTTCAAAAAAAAAAGTATTTCACACACAGGATTAAGTGATGAGAAATAAGATATAAATATATAAATATATAAGGAAATTGAGATGTATAAACAAAACCATATCAATCGCAAAAAAATAAAAAATTAATGTTAACGCATAGGTACACCAATATTATTTAACATTATATATATAATTAGTATTATATCGTACTTGTATAATAAACTGCGTCATAGATAAAATTATAAAGTTGTTTATAATTTTCTTATATACCCGTATAATTTTTATTATTATACTTATCATACAACTACCCGAAAATTATTTTGTTGCTAGAATGTTCATATTTAATGCAAAATAACTTTACTAAAAGGCATTTTTCCGTTTTTTTATAAGAAAGAAAAAAGCGTTTTTTAATACAATCAAAAATATGGTAAAAAATTACAAAATCAAAACAAAACACAAAATTTGTTATTTTTTTTTTATAAAAAATAGTATATCTTTTAAACAAATTTTTTTTTTTTAATTCCCGTGGATTTATAAAGCTATGTAAATAGATGTATACTTATAGGCCTAATAAGAGTTTTTGAAATCAAAAAAAAAAAACATAATTATTGAAACCCTTAAAGTTCAAAAAATGACAAGAATTTGACGAATGAGGAAAATTCCTTAAAAAAGGAAGAACAAAATAAGTTTATACAATAATTTTTATTCTGAATAATCATAAAGTAGTATTAAATGAAAAATTTTCCAAAGTCTTTCCGAATTAATTTTAATAATATTTAAATCAATTGACTTCAGCAGTTTTGTGTGGCAAACGAAGCGGGAAATTAAAATATTTAATAGGTCAATAGATTACTAAAAACTTTTAAACATAAATGTATTTTACATATAAAAAAAAGTTAAAATTATACTATATAAAAATACTACATAAGTATATATATACTATATAAGTAAAATATTTTCTATATTTTTAAAAATCAGTTTTAAAGAAAAGTACATTTAGAAGAATATCATACAAATATAAAATGAATATTTTCTTATTCCGACTGATAAAATGATTAAAGGCTAATAATTAATAATTCTATCAAGATTTATTATTTTATAAATAATATTTTTAATATTAATAATTTTTAATATTTAATAATTATTTTAGATTTAAAATAATAGCAGAAAAAATGACTGAAAAGTGAATTTATGATCTATCTGAATTTAATATTTCATTATCTATTTATTTATAATATAAATTTTAGTATATTACAATAATGGCTGCAAATAAGTCTCGAATTAAATTTTCATTCGCCAAAATACCACAGAAAAAAGCTAAAATAGAAGTGAAAATCACAACATCTTAGACATTATTCAATGATAAAAAATCTTTTTTATTTTGAATCTTATATTTTCCTTAATATTTATTTGCCAATATATTTTTGAAATTTATTTATGTAATATTTTGACAACACAATTAAACTGCATTCATTAAATTAAAAAACCAACTTATTCAAACTTTAACTTATCTAACTCGCAGAGACTTAGTAATTAATGATAGTTAATAGTTATTATTATTAGTTATTCATGATCTAGTATGAGGAAATTTGGTAAAATTTCCAAAAATCAATTTTTTGCTTCTTGTCTTTCTGTTGACAGTTAATTCTTGCCATTCTCATTGAAAATTGAAAAAACTTTAGCAAAACGTAGAAATTTATTCATGATCTAGTATGAGGAAATTTGGTAAAATTTCCAAAAATTAATCTTTTTCTTCTGTTCTTCTATTGCTGAAAGTACAACTTCATTAATCTTTCATGCAAATTTTAACAATACTCACGTAATGAGATTCTTTTGACTTTTTTGGCCTTCATCGGATTTTTCAATCTGAAACATAAGAGAAAATCATGTTAGTTGTAATATACTAAATACAAATATTTTTCTCTTTTCGGACAAAATGTTGCGTAGGATAAGAAACATAAATCATCATGAACTATATAAACATGTAGATAATCAAATTCCTTTTTTTACTTATTTCAAATATTGTCATATTCTCGCAGAGAATTGCAAAACCTTCAGTAAAACGTAGAAATTTATTCATGATCTAGTATGAGGAAATTTGATAAAATTTCCAAAAATTAATCTTCTTCTTATGTTCTTCCGGTCTTCTTTTACTAACAATAGAACTTCATTAATCCTTTATGCAAATCTTAATAATACTTACGTGATGAGATTCTTTTGGCTTTTTTGGCTTCCATCGTATTTTGCAATTTGAATTGATTAGAATTGATTAACATAGCGTTGTCAAGGAAAAACCATGAATTTTTAAGAAAAATGCCTAAAAATAACTATGTACCCCCCCCTAGCAGCCACATCTTTTGACAAATAGAGCTCAAATTTGCACACTTATGCACTTATGTATTTTTACGTGAAAATTGCAGGAAAAATATAGCGAACTTAATTAGGATTGATTTATATACCGTTGTCATGGAAAAATCAAAAATGTCGAAAAAATTTATTTTATCCCCCTAGCGCACACAATATTCAACCCAGACAGTTCATATTTGGTGTATAAATGTAGTTTTGCGTGAAAATTAAGGGGAAAATATGTGAGCACGATTGGAGTTAATGATTAATTTTTATCAAATTTTTAGAGAAAAATGATAATTTTAGGGCCAAAAACTAAGAAAATTTTATCTAAAGTAATTCAAATTTATATATTTTTACGTGTGGACTTTTCTCATAAGTTTTTTATTCGTTTCTCTGTTCTATTTATATTTTTCTAATTTTTTTCTTTTCCTCCTATTCTTTCTTTTTTAATTCGATATTCTTTTCACATTTTTTTAAAGAAAATGTTTATTTTAATTAAAACTAAAATCGAGGATTCCGTACTGGAAGCGAACTTATTTGGTATAAAAACAAATGTTTAAAAAATATGTGTTGTATGTCAAATAATATAAGTGATACAAAAAGGAACAATTTTGTAAAATTTAAGAAAATTGTTCCTCTTCGTATCACTTATATTATTTGACATACAACATATATTTTTTAAACATTTGTTTTTATACCAAATAAGTTCGCTTCCAGTACGGAACCCTCGATTTCAGTGCGACTGTAACCAGTTATTATAAAAGTAAAGAATCTCCTGAAGTGTCTAAATTGGTAGTTAGATAACTAAACTGAATTAAGGTTAGTGCATGCCGCCATGACAGTTAAGCTTACAGAGCCAGGGCCGTAGTTTGAATGTTGTCTGGGGTACTTTGGTACCCCAGTTGTACTATCTAGGGTTAATAATAAATTTTTTTTACAAAATATTAATATAGTTTGCCATATGACTACGAATCCTTATACTTACTGTTTTTTACTTCTCCACAAAATTTTAGCTTAATCTATAAAATATTTTCCGAGAAAACTTGAAGAGAATAATTACACGTCACATAATCTTCAATATCAAAATATATCGGAGGGACATAAAAGTTAAATCAGGGTTCGGAATGTAAATTATTTTCATTTTCTTTATCTTGTAGCGACAACGGTGAATAGGTGCTGTACTATATCAAAAGTGATCTGTGGTTACCAAAAATATCTTGAGTATGAGAAAATCATTTTTAGGGGAGTACCCTAAATAATTAAAAATTTTTATTAAAGTTTAAACTTGTTAAGTGTGGTTCTGTAATAGAATTAACAAACAGATTATGATACATCTTGGTGTACTAGTAGCGCAAAGTATTAAGTATATATTTTGACTTTGTCCCTTATGGATTAAATAATTTATAAGGTCCGGAGCGCTATTAGAAGTTTATAATTGTTGGTCTGTTTACCTAAACAAGTGAGGCAAATCGGAAAGTTTGTAAATTCTTTTGAAAAAGTTAATAATGTAACCAAACACTAAAAAATACTTAATAATAATAATATGTCACGACATTGATAGATAAGGGTCCAAGAAAACTTCTAGCTAGAGTCAATCCGCGAATGCGTCTAATGCAGCCTCTAGCAATTTCTCGTTAAAACATGAAGTCTATACATTCTCTCTTACCATCTATGATATCAATAAAATAGTAAAAATCTGCTTTACCAACTGTAGTTAATTCTGCGATGGTAAGAAGTCCCTATGAAAAGTTTTGCTAACACTTACCATCATACGATATCAACAAAATTGTTTTTAAAAAAATCTGCTTTACCAACTGTAGATAATTCCAAGGTTAAGTATCCCCGATGGTAACTGGCTAGAATTACTTCAGCTTATCCATAGAGGGTTGTAATTATTCAATATTTTTAAGTTGTCATCCTGCAACATGAATTTAGAGTCTCTTATGTAGATAACTTCATCTTAGTTTTGTTCTGTGTTGATGCTATTGTTGTACGATTGACATAAGTCAATGCAATGGCTGAATATTTAGCATCAATTTTTGGTACAGAAAAAGATAAGTAAGTATTATTATTTTATATGAAAATAAATAAATAGGTGTTTTTTTTTTAAAAAAAGTACCTCAATATTGATTTATACTTAATTCTCAACAGAGTTAATTGTTCATTTTACTTTAAAATTGGAGCTTGTCGTCACGGTGATCGATGTTCACGTATACATAATAAACCAACGTTTAGCCAAGTAAGTACTAAATTTTATAAGGTTTCTATAGTCGTATAATTTAATTTAGTTAAACATGTTTTGAAAATAAAAGACTAATGGCTTTATTTAACAAATCAATAAATGGCGGGATTTGATGAGAATTCTTGAATTGACATAACCTATACAAGTCATATTTTATTAAATTTATGTTTGTTACCTATTTTTGATAATTTTCCATATATTAATAATAACTTTTTTCATTTTTTTAATCAATGGATTTAAAAAATATGTTTTATTACGCGTTATATTTTTACTGCTCTTTCTAACCTAAAAATTGTTTCATATTTTTGCGCAATAAGAAGAAAGAAAAGAAACTAATTAATACCCACAAATTTAAATTGATAAATGAATGTAGAAATCTTGGTATATATTTAGATATTCAGGAAACTGGTACTATAATTTTGTTTTTGTTACAGACATGCCTCCTACAGAATCTTTATGTAAATCCTCAAAACTCAGCAAAAAGTGCAGATGGCTCACATTGTAATGTTTCTTCTATAAATTATTTCCTCCTTTATGTTTTAAATTTTTATCAAATAATTTCACTGATTATAAATTTTTTGCGAATAATTTTATTTTCTTTATTTATTACAGTGGTTGCAAATGTGTCTGATGAAGAAATGCAGGAGCATTATGACAATTTTTTTGAAGATGTTTTTGTTGAATGTGAAGATAAATATGGCGAAATTGAAGAAATGAATGTTTGCGATAATTTAGGTGATCATTTAGTTGGTAATGTTTACATTAAATTTCGTAAAGAAGAAGATGCTGAAAAAGCAGTTAATGATTTAAATAATCGTTGGTTTGGTGGAAGACCAGTTTACGCTGAATTATCACCAGTAACAGATTTTAGAGAAGCTTGCTGTCGTCAATATGAAATGGGGTAAATTAAAATTTTGAATTGTGTAAAAAAAAAATTAAAGAAATTTTTTGGTTTTACATTATTTTCAAAATTAATTTTTATTTTTCAGCGAATGTACAAGATCAGGATTCTGTAATTTTATGCATTTGAAACCAATATCAAGAGAATTGAGGCGTTATCTTTATAGTCGAAAGAAGGGTGGTAAAACTGCACGATCACGATCGCGTTCAAAATCACGTGGTCGTAGTGAAAGAAAGAAAAAATCACGTTCACGTGAAAGACGATCACGATCTAAAGAGAGACGCAAAAGAGGTGGAAGTAGAGAAGAAAAAGGACGTGATGGTCGATCTGGTAGATATTAAAAAAAAAAAAAAATTACATCTCAACACATCAAATATATCCCTAAAACTTCCTAAAAGTGAAAAGAAAAGAAAAAAAAGGAAAAAGGTGACGCATTTCTATATGCATACATTTTTTTGCATATAAATGATATTCAAACGTCATTTTTGTATATATTTTGTATATCATGTATATCTAAATTATATACAAGTTCAATTTTTGCCAATATATAATTAATCTATAAATAATTAAGTCTGCCTTCAGAAGAACTAGTTCTATTATAGATATACTTGTTTCTTTCTCGAATCTCGAGATAATGACTGCTATGCGTTGTTGAACAAAAAAAAAAAATTTTTTAATATCCTATATATATATATTTAATTTAAATTAATTTATTTAATTTATTATATCGAACCAATGGTTTTACCTATACAATTTATTTATGGAAATAAATTTGTCGACGGTAATATTGTTGATTGATTTTTTGGAATTTTTTCCTCTTTCTTTGGTATTAATTATTTTTGCTTCAAAATAAAATCAATAAAAATTAGAAAAAAAAAAATTATTTCAATGGATAATATGAATAAGTATAGGAAGTATTAAATTCAACCGCTATATGTTGTTTTTTCTTTATACATCGGTAGATAAGTCTAGACAATTGTGGAGATAAAAAGAAGAATTCTGCAATACCGCTAGTTGGTTCAAGAAACTCTTTGGGTAAATTGTAGAATTCAACAGTAGCGACAGAGTTACCTACCTTACTGCCGGTAATGTAGAATTTTCGTTTATTACTGGTTTATAAAACAAAAAATCAAAGCAGTTTTTTCTTTTTCTGACACAGATGGTAGCATCTACATAGATATAAAAGTTATTACATGAACCCATTAATGCCTCAAATCACCGAAAGTTAGAATTACATTATCGCATTTAGAAAAATCAAAATGGCTGTTCAAAAATGGCGCTTACTGTGAAAAAATTTGCAAAATTTTTTATATGATGGATCCAACTGTGTTAATTGTTATTGTTCAAAATGTATAAAACTCAGTATTTAAGTTTTTGGGTTTAAAAATGTACAAATGTATAAATTATTACCTTGAGAAAATAAGTGCAATTAATTGAATAATTGGTCACTCTTATGTTTTTGGGGTCCCTGATAATGAATCTGAAGTCAGATTTAAAAATTTTTTAAAAATTCAAAATGGCGGACATATTTTTAAAAATTAACTGGATTCACTTGAAACTTGTTACTCGTGGGTTTTTGGGGTCGTTGATTACGAATCTGAGGTCAATTTTCAAAAATTCAAAATGGCGGATACATTTTTAAAAATTCAATGGATTCGATCGAAACTTGTTACTCGGGAGTTTTGTGGGGTCGGTGATTACGAATCTGAAGTCAGTTTTCAAAAATTTTAAATGGCGGATACAATATGGCGGACATATTTTTTAAAAATTAACTGGATTCTATCAAAACTTGTTAATCGAGGGTTTTTGAGGTCGCTGATTACGATTTTGAGGTCAATTTTCAAAAATTCAAAATGGCGGATACAATATGGCGGACATATTTTTTTTTAATTAATTCGATTCACTTGAAACTTGTTACTTGGGGCTTTTTAGGGTCGCCGATTATGTATTTAAAGTCAGTTTTAAAAAATTCAAAATGGCGGATCCAATATGGCGGAAATATTTTTTAAAATTGACTGGATTCACTTGAAACTTGTTTTTAGGGTCTCCGATTATGAATTTAAAGTCAGTTTTCAAAAATTCAAAATGGCGGACATATTTTTTAATAATTGACTATATTCGATTGAAATTTGTCACTTGGGGGTTTTTGGGGTTGTTGATTACGAATCTGAAGTCAGTTTGTAAAAAAAAAATTATAAACGCTTGAATTTTGCTATTCGTGGGTTTTTGGGGATTCTGATAATGAATTTGAAGCAAATAATAATTTTGTTTTAAATAACAAAATATAATAATTGATGAAATAATATTTATTTTCGTTTCTAATTGACACAGTTGGTTTATTCAAAAAGGATGTTTTTGCTATCCGATCTTTCGTCGCCAGAAGCATATAAGTGATATTTTTTGCATCAGTGACACTGAAGAGAGTATAGAGGCTATTAAAAGAAACCCTACGAATAAACGCATTTGCGTATTCCTTATATATATTAAAGCAGGCAAAATAAATAGCTGCTGTCTTGAAGACTTAGTTGGTCTCGTGCCGGCCAACTGTCGCGGAAAGAAGGTTAAAAAAAGGAGCAGAAAAAAAAATCAGCACTGATCGCGAAGCATCTAAAGAGAAGGGCACGTGTTTCATTCGGTAGTATCTAATTGGCAAGGTTTCAGAGTATGGAGGATAGCAGCGGGCCTGTATTAACAACGGCAGATGGCTGTCGTGATTGCAGCTGCTTGAGAATAACACCTGCTGTTTCTTTAAGACTGCTATTGAGGTTCAATATATATATATAAGAATCACTGCTCGCGAATGGACTTATCTTATTTTTTTCCCCTCTAAATCCCAATTTACAAAAGTGACTCTTATCACGTCATTTCAAATATTAACACAAATAAACGACACCTGATATAGATTTTGTCAAATAAAATGCGTCTCAAGGCGAAAGGTAAAACAGCTGGTGATACAAAAGTATCTTATATTCTATATATATATATATATATATATATATATGGTAAGTATATATTTTCTATGCTTTTTTATATTTTGAGAGTTATTTAATTATTAATTCATTTTTTTTCTATTATTAGGAATGAATAAAGTTTTTTCATGCTATGATGATGAATAAATATAAATTTTACAGAATACGCAATTAGTAACATTCCTGTTATTAGGAATGAATAGAAATTTTTCATGCTATGATGATGAATAAATATATAAATTGCACAGCATTTACAATTAGTAACATGGACGTTTTAAGTGTACTGAAGGGAATTGTTTTCTAGTGAAATATTTATCCTTGGTATTTATTATCCTTGTTTCAGTGGAATATTTTAATCTACTGTTTACAAGAACTGCGTTCACCAAGGATCATTCTCTCTTATTCAGAATTTAACAAATCAAATCTAATTTTTAATTAAACTCGAGATCAATATTAGTAAATTACAATTCGCAATTTGATGAAATTTGAAATTTCAATATTATCAAATTGAAAAAAACCCTATCGAGGAAAATGAACGAGAGAAATTTATAAACATAAATTTAGAAATTTTCAAAACTATAAAAAATTCCTATACCAAAAAGTTTATTTCTATAGAAAAATGATGAAAAAAAAAAAAAAAAAATTGAAACGAAATTGGATGCATGGTACACCGAAATAGATTCTTAAATTCTTTTCCGATATTCATAGTTCGTCAGTGCATATCTGGAAGTCATGGAACGTTTATTGACTTTTTCTATGACAGAATATATATATATCAGTATAGCTAGAAGATCTTTTTGAGTTAAAGTGAACTGAAACGGTTCTCATCTCTCTCTGATAAAACGAGCTCGAATGTCAAAGAGAAGACACATATATATATATATATATATATATATATACATATACGCATATATGTGTGTGGTTAGGTCACCAAACGTGTTATAATTAATGCCGGCACACTGCCAATTTTAGTCCCTAGAATCGAGTTCACGAAATCCATGATTGGCAAGAGGCGTGTGAAATGAATGCCACATTGTTCACTTTGACAGGTGCCCCGGTGTCGTTCAATTCGCGATGCTCACCATGCATTGATTTAGAAATGAACTAACAACCTGTCAAATGTCTCGCGAATCAACGAGACCTATAATTTCAACTATCTATACATTTCGCCAATTGTGCATTTGCATTTAATCCCATTAAGTTATCGAATTCGATAATATTTACCATATGTTTCATATATTTTGATTCATGATTCAAGTGAATTTCTCAATTTATATATAATATATAAATTTCTCTTACTGATATTATGATATAAATATTTAAAACATTCTCTAATGAAATTCAATAAATTATATTCTAAATGGAATATATTAAATAATGAATTTTTTATTTAATAATAAATTTATCTTCTTAGTAAATGTATTAGATAAATGTTATATAAATAAAGATACGTATAAAGTATTTTTTCTAGACACTCTCAACTAAAAAGATATTGAATTGCATGACTGAATGTATAAAAGATGTCTATTCATACGTCTGAAGTATGTCGCTTGAATGAAATTACAGGACACTTTTTTTTTCTCTCTCGTTGTGCATCCGGAGCAATGTTATTGAATTTCAATTTCTTCCGTCGAAGCGATTATAACGGGAATCGAAATTTGATACGATTATAGTATCGTAGAAGCTTGAACTATTGGAACCGATTGTGCACGCTTGCTCTTTTACCTCTCTCACTCTCTCTCTCGAATGATTTATTCGATTGGAAAAGAAAAAGAGGCCACCTGGCACTCAAATGCTTTTCATCGTTTTTGACTTAACACCCTAGAAATTTTTAACGAAACGCGATACTAGAATTATCAATGATTTCTTCTAATAAGTAGGTCATAAAATATTTTTTTGCAACACTAAACCTCTAAAGTGTTTAAAGTGCCACTTTTTATAACAGTGCATAACTTTACTGAAATTTTTTATGACTTTATGTTACGAAAAAAAGAAATTGATTTTCTTTAAATAATTAGTATAAAACTATATAGTTCAATGCTAGTACCGAAGACTAAAAAAATTAAAAAAGGAAAATGTAAATAAAAATACACAAATATTGAAAAATGTGAAAGAACTCCTATTTGTAATTGACTCTTAATCCAATAAATTAAATGTTACTGTTTTTGACAAGTTTCCTATTTCTTCCTGAAAGTATCAATTATCGGGAAGTTTAAGTTCCATTCGTTTCGATTTGTTAAGTGTAGACACTGGAAATGAAATGAAAACAAAAAAAAACGAGTATTGAGAGAAACAAGAAAAAGGCATTTTTTGAGACTTGAAAGGGTAAATAACGGAAAATTTGGAACGAACACACTTAAAGGGTTGATTTGTTCGCTTAATCGAGTCCCTCACTACTTTTCACTAACTTCTCAAAAATTTTCTTTTTGTCCTCTCTCTAATTTACTTTTCTTGTTCTGTCAGTCGTCTCACCTCGAGAAAAGTATATATATTTGAAAGACGGCCAATTACTTTAGAAAAGTGAACTACATCACGTCAACTACTTTTTTTCTATACTTTTTTTTTAAATTATATAGATTTCAATAGACGTTAAAATCCTCAATCTCGGAATATATATTTACCCTCATAACAAAAGGATATCCTTAGGATATCCATAAGATATCCATATCAATAGTCGATATCCTAGAATGGTCCCCAGGAAATCTTGGGATATCCATAGGATATCCAAACCACCGGTCTGTGGGACATCAACAGGACATCCATAGGATATCCACAGGATATACCTAAGACATCCGCAAAATATCTATTGGATATTATATCGCAGGATATCCTCAGGATGTCCGTGGGATATTCTTAGGATACTCACGGGATATTTAATATCTCAACATATATTTTTAAAGGTTAAAATTGTTAAGCTAATATAATGAATAATAATATAATAAAAACAAAAATTTATATAAAATTTAATTCACAGAATATTCTCACTCGTAGTCTAATAATGACATTAAAAACAGTATCCTGAGAATATCTTCTTGACATCCAGAAGATATACTGAGAATATCCTGAAAATATCTGTGGGATATCCTGACGATATCTATGGGATATCCTGATGATATCTGTGGGATATCTGGAGGACATTTATGAAAGTCTATAGAGATATCCAGAAGATATCCTGTGGATATCCTCAGATATCCATGGGATATCCAAAGAATATCCAAACCGCCGATTTTTTGATATCCTTAATAGATCCTTTTGATATCCATAGGACATCCCTAGGATATCTGCGGGATAATATCAATATATCCCAAGATATCTTGTGTTATTAGGGATATATATCGAGAAAATACTTCTTATTTTTTATTATTTAAATATTTAATACATTTTTAATTGAAATAAACTTTAACTTTAATCACATTTTAAAATCAGATATTTAAAATTATAATTTGTCTTAGATGTATATAATTTTCATTAATTTTATAAAATCGAATTTAATTTATTTAAAAAATAAAAAAAAATCCATCAAATTATTGATTCTTTTTAATTGAATTTACTTTTTATTTTTAATAATTGATATAACCTCTCTCGGTTTAGTTTTTAATTATGCAATTAACAATTCAAATGTTTCTTTAGAGAGTCTACAAATTATAAATTTTAAACGAATTTTTTATAATTATTTAATTTTATTAAATATTGTAATTTAAAAATTAATTTTATTGTTTGGAAAGTTTCTTTTTAAAACACATTCGAAATCCCGAATATAAAAGACAAAAAAATTTGTTCGGTGTAGAATCATTGTCTCGTTTGAAAAATAATTTTTCGTATTCATAATATTTTTATAACGCGTAGTTATTTTATCTTGTAATAATTTTAAAGAAAAAACCATTTTTTTAATAAAGCATTTTTAACTATTGTTGAATTTTATCATTAAATGTTTCTTGTTAAACGCATACAATATAGCGATAAAGTGAAAATTAAAAGCTATTTATTTTCATTCTATCGAGGGAATAAGTAGATTGTTGCTTATTATAAAACTTAGGTATAGAAAAATTTTGTTTTATATTATAGAGTTTACTTTTTCGAGTCAGTTGTAATTTAAAATAAAATTCTAATTTACGATCTTTTTAGCAACAGACTCATAACTCGAACTCGAGTAAACTTCGAATATATAGCGCTAAGGTACGCGCTTGTTTCCCCCCCCCCTCTCTCTCTCTCCTATTTCGATCGTTCTTCGAGCCTGTCTCGAGGGGATTCCCTCGAGGTGTATATATTTTTTCCGTTTATACACGGATGCGATAATTTTTTATTCCCTTCCGGGATTTTAGCGATCATTCAGAGAAACGATGTGATCTTGTTGATATTGGAAAAATTTCACAATTTATACTGACATAGGGCTTTATATATATTATATTTGACATGAGAAAAAAAATGTTGACAAGAATTTCATTTCTATTCAATTATCATAGAAAGAGTTTTTTAAATTTTGTAATTATTTTAAATCAAAAATATCTGTATAGTCAAAGTAGCTGTGTGGTCTGCGTATACGATTCGTGTTCCAATTGTCCTTGGTTCGATCCCTCGCGCCAGTTAGATTTTTCAAAATTACTCTTTAAGTGTTTCGTATGTTACACATAACATATGCATATAATACATAATATATATGTTACTTTCTAGATGAGAAAAAAATATTAAAAATATGATATAATTAATTTTTTTAATTCCATCTACGTTATCTACACTTTTTAATTATTAATTTACCAAGACACCAATTTATTTTATGGAAAATAACTAAATCAAGAAAATTAGTTAAATAACCCGACAACTAAAGTTTATAATTCTACTTAGGAAAAACTAAAACCAGCTCAGGAATTCTATTATTTCCTTATGGCAACAATAGACCGCGGAGAGGGGAGATAAAAATAAATACTATTAATTAAACAAAATTTATAACAATAAAACTATTTATTAATATTCACTTCAAATTTTAGAAAAAGTTAAATAATCGCAGAAGGCCGAAAGTCAAGATTTATATTTTATTTATTCAATTATACTTTAATAATAATAAGATGGATTCTGAGGGAAACGACTCCTAATTAATTTATTGGGACTCACTGTCTATTTGAAGACGATGACGCCTCGTCTCATTTTTATAATTTTAATTATTTTACACGAAAAAGAATAGAACACAACTTGACTCTACGATTACCAGGATGAGAATGAGAGTAAAATGGCTGACGAGTCAAACTCGAAAGCGTCGCAAAACAGCGGCCTCTCTTCTCGGTGTCATTGAGATCAATTAATATTCAATAATATATAATACCCGCGACGACCGATAATCGATACGCAGCCGTCGATAACGCAGATTTCTGCACTATCCAATGTTGAATTGATTGATGTGAGAAGTCCATAGGAAATTGGCTTACCAGTATTAATTTGACAGATCGTCAACAAAATATCAATTTCGTTTTCCTTGTGTTTTTGAATATTCGGGACTCTCATACAAATATATACACCAGAAAGTTCTTCTCTTGATGACTTCTATAATTTCAATGATAGATAGTTATGTCTGACTTTGGCAAGTTGGTTTGTTAATACGTGAATTTGATTATTTAAAAAAAAATCAAATGAGTATCATAAGAAAAAAAATTTTATAATTCATAACATTTTACAGACATTATGACTGGATTTCCACTCTGGTGTCGTTAACTTACAAAATTTATTTTAATTTATTATTTTTAAGTAATTTGTACGCGACAAAATGCCACGTTTCAACCTTTATCTTCTAAAGCTGATATTTTTGATTCAAGTTTAATAGGTGTGTTTCTTCTTTTATATCTCTTTTTCAGTTATTTTTTTCCTATTGTAATGCTTCTTTTATAAGTTAATAATTTAGGGAGGAGAGACAGTAATGCAGTTAAGAAGAATTGTAATGGGAATTCGAAGCCATCACCGAGTAATAGAGTATAACAGTGTGAGAGAAAGAGAAGGGATGAGAGAGAGAGAGAAATTTTCTATATATGAGAGAGCAGGAATAATAAAAGAAGGGACTTGTGATGAATATTCGTCGAATTTGAAAGAGTGCTATCGCACGAGTGATTTGTTAGTTTACTTCCTAGTCCTCGTTTTTTCTCGTTCGATTTTCCAATCTGCGCGCCCCCTTTTGACGAGTTTTCGATTAACGGATATATATGTAAATTATTCTTGCGGTACAATATACATATATATATTTTTTTTTTGTTTCAATATTACACGTCAATCTTTTCTGTTAACCCTTTCACATACAGAAAAATATCAAAAACGTTTGGATTTGCTTGTAACTTATTTCTCTAGGTCGCTGATTATAAATCCGATGGCAGTTTTTCAAAATTTAAAATGGTGGTCAAAATTTGAGGTTATGTTTGTTTCTTGTTTAGGGGGGTTTACCGACAAAATGTGAAGTTATGTCTGCCAAACATAGCCTCGAACCTAGTGGCAATTCTGGGGACTTGCGACTATATTTGGACTTTTGAAACAGCGGCAGCGTTATCTTTTTACATTCTCATCATAATGAGAAGGTAATTACATTTGGGCGATTTTGAGCATTCTCTAATTCTCGTGAATCTCGACATTTTGAGACTTTCTGATGCCGAAAAAATGGGTCTTAAAAAATGTTTGTCTGTATGTATGCCTGTATGTCTGTACGTATGTCTGTAGACTAATTTTGTTCGACGATAACTCGAACAAATTTTAATGAATCGACTTCAAATTTGGTATACACATTAAGTGTACCAAAATCTCACCCGATTTCGTTGGCCAGATGATTTCGTCAAAAATCAACAAAATTATTCAAATTTTGAGTTTCTAAAATTTTCAAAATATTGGCATTTTAATAAAAAAAAATTTTTTCAATTATTTTTCGAAAAATACGAGTAAAAATAAACATTTTTTTCCTCTAACAATTTTTAATAGCGATTAAAACAAAAAAGTTATTTTCTTCAACACTTTTGGGTGTATTTTGTGCAAGAAATTGCAATGAAATTGTCTGCCTAAGAAAAATTGAATTTTCTGTCGTTTTTTTTATATGTACTTTTGAATATGAAATTATTTAGATATATAATGAAATTTCATTTAATTGTCACGTAAAATAATTTTTATGAAAAAAATCTAATCTTTATAAAATATTGCAAGAAATATTATATTATAAAATTAAAGATTAATTTTAATGGAATACAAAAAGTAAAAAATCAAGGACAAATGCTTTTAAATATCAAATATTGCAAAACATTTTAATATTAATTTAAAAACAAAGGTTCTTGAAAAAAATTTCTGCGATTATAAGAATAATAATAAATTGTAAGTGCGGAATGTGAAAACGTGCTCATTCATACTTTCGATAAAATAAACGGAGTATCTTCTATTATTATTAAATATATGTTTTATTTAAAAACAAAACTTTAAAGTCACGAATAAGAAAATTTAACATAAACAGATTAATTAACTCTACATTCCAAAACGATTGTCAGTTAATAAAAAGAAAAGTTTTAGGTTTTACGAGTATCAAACTTATTTCAACACTCAACGAAGAAGCATTGAATAATTTAACGCAGGTCAATTTTATTTTCAAATATTTTAAGATTAAACAATTTTTTAATTTAATAATTTAATTTTTTCGTCTGCTAACATATAATATTAAATTCATCAAAATTGTTAATATTTATATTATAAATTTTGGATTAACGAAAGCTTTCATATTATAGTTATTGTTTAATATAAATATATTATTAGGTAATAAATTGGAAATGATTTTCAAAATGTTTAATTATTTTTAAATCGTTATTTTTTTATTGTCTAATTAATTAATCAATAATTTATTATTATTAAATTTAAAATTTTAATATTTACAAAATATCTAATATAAATTTTCAAATATTTGTTATAATAATTAATTCAATAAAAATGATATAAAACTAAATCATAAAAAAATTTGTCATTTATTTTTCAGACAATATGGGTCGGTGTCTAGCTACAATTCTTCTAGCTATTTTTGTTCCATTTTTTATAGAGAATTCTATATCTTTACCAATTGATGAACATCGATTGGTAAGTTCTATTCTATTATTTCTCAAAAAAAAACTTAAATTCATTTTTGTTTTCAAATTGAGTTGATAGCAAACTTCACTTGCTTGGTTTATTTCAAATTTGCATATAGCAAAACCTAAAATTTATAAAATATTAATATGTGACCTGGAGTGGGATTACAACTAGCGACAGCGTTACGAAGATTTCGCTACGTAGCGATTCAAAGCTACATTCACATTAAAAAATTTTCTAGCTATCGGGTGACTTAAAAAAATGGTATCATTTTGATAGATTTAGGTTGGTACAATTGTTTTTCTGTGTATTTTTTATCTCATATTTGCTTTATTTTATAATTTAACAATTTTTTTTATAATCAAGAATGTATCAAATTCATAAGGATTTCCCACGATGAAGAAATGAAGCAATTAAAAGAAGTATCTAAAAAGCTGACAAATTTTTCAAATCTCAAAAGTTATAAAAAGGCAATTCGAGGCAATGATAATTATTAATATTATTATATTAACACTTTTATATCCAATTTCTATCCTTACAAAAAATCAAGAAAATAATTCAACTTTATCCAATAATAATAAACTATTTACTTTTCTTTTTGATATTAATAATTAAATATTTATTGCATTTATATTTATTATTTTTTTTCATAGGATTAAAAGTTTCTATTAGACATTGTCTAAAATGGGAAAAAAATTTAATTAAAAAAATTTTGAATATATAACCTCAGAAATAGAATTTTTGTTCTCACGCAAGGGTTCACTAAAAAAATGTATAGGGCATTTTTTGTGAGTTAAAGAGTTTTTCAAAAAATGAAAATTTAAATTAATTTAATTAAAAAATTAAAAAATAATTAATTTAATTTAAAAAATGTATCAATTTTTAAATTTAGGCTGGTAAAGAATATCCTAATTTTAAATCTCATGCAATTATTATTTTTAATTCTTGCAATAAGATTAATTTTCTTAATTTTTATTTATTAAATTAAATTAAAAAAATTTATTTCCCTTTATAAATTATTTTAACATTAAACTAGATAATTCATTTTTAAAGTTGTTATTTATTAAATTAATAGCTTATTTGCAATATTGAAGTATAATTTATTTCGTCACTAGTTAATTATTTTATTTGAAACTAATAGTTGGCAAACATGAAGTTAGAGAATTGATTCCACCTTCATGTTGTATTTGTTTGCTACGTAGATAAAATATTTTAGGAAATTGACATGAATTCTATGTCAATGTCCTTATTTAGAGGGGTTATGTTTATAGTTTCTTCTAAATTACCATCTTGCAGTTTAAGCTTTGAAGAAACTGTCAACGGTAATTTATTTTGGTCATGATTTGGAACAAATTTCACTAAAAATATGTAAGTTTTTAATTCTAAATAACAAAAAGCGCTACATACACTGTTAAAAATGTTCGTAAATTTACAACATTTTTAATATACCAATATATATTAAATTTAAGAAACTGTACTTTGAATTATATTAAGATACCTTTTTGTGGTAATATTAATATACTGGTGTCTTAATCCTGATGTTTGTAAATTTAATATACTTTTAATATACCACGGTATATTAACTTTAAAATACATGTACTCTAAGTTAATGTAATGTACATCTATATATAGTAATATTAATACATTAGTGTATTAATGCTTTATTTATCCTAAATTTGTACGTGTCTTATATGTTTAAAAGAGTAGTTATTTTAATGATTTATTTTCAACTTTTACGTTTTGCATTGAATCAAAAATTTATTTGATTATAATATTTGATATCATTAAATATCACAGAAAAAACCTGGTTTCAAATTAAGTATAAATTCCATACTCAATTTGATTCGCAGCAAAAATGAAACTGGGATAATTATCAAATTAAATATGGAATTTTATTCATACTCAATTTGAAACTAGGTTTTTTCAGTGATGAATCGACTATTTGATTAGCTTTTATCAAATAAATATTAATTTGTATTTTTTTTTAGTAATGCAATTATATTATTTTTAATTAATTTAATAATTACTACAATATTACTTATTTTAATTAAATATTTATTTGATATAATAGTCAAGTGGCAGGTTGTTTGAATCAAATAAATTGTTTTCGGTGTACAACTCTAAAAGTTTACTTAAAAAATTTTTTAAATTCGCTTCTATTAAATATACTTACACAATTTTTTCCCCTGTAGTTTTAAGGTTAATAATGGTATAGATTCAAATGACTTTCCACTAAATTTCGTTCATTTTCATTTTAAATATTTATTTAGTTGAATTTCACAACAATTACCATCCATAAATAAAAAAATTAGTACTTTTTCAAAGAAAAAATAATACATTTGTTTGTATAAAAATATTTCTCTTTCAAGTTGCTGATAAGAAAAGTGTAAACATTTTTCAGACGAAAAAAAAAATAAGAGGTGAATAAACAGCATTTGTGATAAAAGTTACAAATCATCTTTGTCTAGTTGCATTATGCAAAAAGTTAATATTCAGCAACAATAATTTCTTTAAATATTTATCAAAAATTTATTTCAAAATTTATTTCTATTTTTTAGAACATTCTTATTACTGTATAATGTAAAATTATGGAAGAATTGGATGATTTTAGGTAAATTGTAAAAAGAAATTTAAATTACGACAATACTGTCTATATCTTATTACTTTAAATACTTTAAATGGGATTAGAAAATTTTAAATTAATAAAAATTGCAACTATCTAGGTGAAGTAGAAAAAATATTAATAATTAGAGACACTAATTGTATTTTAAATAAGTAATAAATTTTTATTTTAAATATATCTTTAATTTTGTATAATAACTAAATCGAAATGTTTAAATATTTTACACAATCTTATGTCTTCAGTAGTTACAGTTTATATGGACAGTGCGAATATTAAATTCTAATTCGGTTATTTAGTCGCGGTAGTTAAAGCGTTAGCGTTAGGTCTTAGATTAGGTAGGTGCGCCTGGGTTCAATCCCCGTAGGGTTCAAATTTTAATTTAATTCTGAGATTCGAACGTAAAAGATACAAGTAGATAAAATTATAAATGATAGTATTAACTATAATAATCTTGGTATTCATTCATTCATTCATTCCGTCCGGACCCCTGCTGGGTTTTCGGTGACAGAGAAAAGAACAAGTTATGGAGAGAGAAAGATATATCTTTATTTTGCAAATGAGGGTTCGCTTGACCTGCAATCTTTTAAAGAGGATTAATTAATAACTCTGAGGACCCAGGTAATAATTTCTTTCTCCCTTTATCACGTGAAAAATCTATAAAGAAATTCTAAAACTGAATAGGTAACGCATACCTTTCTTTCTTACACCAAGGAATATAACATAAGTACTTCTTCGTTTAACATTGCGTTTCTCTATCTAGACAATTCAAAATGGCATAAGATCACTTTTTTTTCAATTTTGTATATTTTTGTCCACTTTTTGGTATTACCATAAAGTTTGAACTCTTTTCCACATAATGCATATATTCTATTTAAATTATATTGTGATTAAATAGAAAAATTTCAAGTTTTTGGAACTTGATACATTTTTCTTGTTTTCAAGGTTTGTGTTAAACAGTGGGACACCTATTATTAAATAATGAATCTAATGAATATTTGTTTTAATAATAATATTCTGCTTCATACTTTGTAAATATATATGTTTTGCATTAAATAACGTTAACAAATGTTGCAAAACACTTATATTTTAATAATATTTTACATTTTTATAATACGATGTCAAGTTTCATATAAAAAATTGTTATTATTTTTTTTTACGTTTACAGTACTGCTGATCATACGTCATAATTTGGTCATAACATAAAAACAATTTGGAGGAAAATTTGAATAGTCGTTCTCTTATCAAGTGTTATTTTTCAAATGTTGCCGAACAATAATTGTAATAATTATAAATTTTGAATTTTTTAATGTTTTTTGGCATTAAAAAATCACATTTTTAGTCGCTGTGTAAGTATAAATGCGCATGCGTATATATAGTGTGTTGTCATAAACATGGTTTACATTTAAATTTTGGTCGAGTTTCTTTAAGTAGTTTTTCAGAAAATTAATGTGACCTACTGTTTAAACTGTCCCACTGTTTATCACTCTCTTCTACCTATATTAGAGCCCCAGAAAATTTTAATAAAAAAATTTAAAAATTATTACCTGGCCCCTCAGAATTAATCTTCATTAACAAAGGCTCTATTGTCCAAGGATTGGTATTGTTTGTGGTAATTGTTCTGAGAGTCTAATACTGGTATATACATATTTTTTTTATTTTGAAAACAGAAAGAAAGAAGAGTGAGATTTTTAGGCGAAGATATTCTTATGTTATTTTGAATCCTCTAGATAGAGAAATGCAATATTAAATGAAAATTATATATTATATTCCTTGATGTGAGAAAGAAAGATATACATTACCTCTTCAGTTTTTGACTTTTATCTTTATATTTCCTTGTGATAATACACGGAAAAAATTTCGAGACGTCGGACGTGCCGATGTCAATGTAAACCTACTGTACATTTCATTATGTACTCAGAGTTAATCTTCATTAACAAAGGTTCTATTGGCCAAGGGTTGGTACATCTTTATTTTTCTATATAATAAATGTGAAAAAAGAAATTATTACCTGGGTCCTCAGAGTTAATCCCCATTAACAAAGGTTCTATTGTCCAATGGTTGGTTTTTTTGTGGTATTTGTTCCGGGGTTTTAATACAGGTATAAATACGTATATATGTTATTTGTAATGAACTACTGATTACTCATATAAGAGTGTCCTTTTTGCACTTATTGGCTGATCAGTAGTTACTGATTCATAGTTACTCATAGTTCTCTCATTCTTTTGGATATTTGGTAGTTTTATTGGATAAAAGGCAAAATTGGTTATATTGGATTAAAGTAAAATTTGGTTATATCGGATTAAAGGAAAAATTGGTTATATTTAGTAAAAGGTAAAATTAATTGTATTGAATTAAAGGAAAAATTGCTTATTTTTAATAAAAGGTAAAATTGGTTGTATTGAATTAAAGACAAAATTGGTTATATTTAATAAAAGGATAAATTGGTTATATTAGAGAGAGTGAGCAAAAGGGTTAAAGATATTTAGATTTTCATCAATCAAAAATAAAATTAAACGAAGTATACTATGGCCAACATAAAAGAGTATGTTATTTTAAGTGATAAAGATTTAAAAATTATTGAAAATAGAAATAAATTGTTAAATTACATGCATGTGTACAAATTTGAAGAATTATTAAGAAAAGATTCCAATTCATTTTTCAATGTGCAAAGTACTTTGTATGTACAAATGCTTGATTTTATTGTCCCAATTAGAGAAGGTGATAAACATATTAAAATACTTTTTAGCGGTAATAACAATTATGGTCACTGAATTTATGTTTATTACGATAGAGTAAGGCTTTATATTTTTGATAGCCTTAATGAGGGATGTTTAAATGTGCATCAAATAAAATGTTTAATTAGATTGTTCCCTTTTAAACCAACAGTAGTTTTTGAAGCTGTTAATCAACAACTTTTTGGTAGTGTTTAGTGTGGAGTATATGCAATAGCATTTGCAACATCTGCATTATTTAACGTAATGCCAAACTGTGTAAATTATGAAACTGATAATAACAAAATGAGAAACCATTTTAGGTCAATGTTTGAAAATAATCGCTTAAATCATTTTCTGGCAGTAAGAACGTCTCACAATAGGAATTCGATAATAGAGAATAATTAGAACCGTCTTTTCATAAATTGAACTTAGGAACATAAAAATTATATTTTAAACTCTTGTTCTGTTTTTAATACTTTGCACAGTAATAATATTAACAGAGTTCTATTAACACAATATTTAAAAATTAAACATTCTCTAAATGACACTAGTGAAAAGAAAATAATTCGTACAACTGATAATAATGTTAACAAAATTTCACCACATGAATATTTAAAAATGAAGAATTTTCTGAGTAAAGAAAATGATAAAAAGATAATTCGAGCAATTAAAGAGAAGGGAAGAAAAAGGAAGGCAAGGCGCGAAGTTACATATGAGCAGAAAATAATAAGACAGGAGAATGAGAGATTGAGAAAACGTAATCGTAATAAAACAGAAATAAAAAAGAAAGAGCGCAAAAAAAAATTTGACATGCAAAAAAAAAGAAATTATCTATAAAAACTGAAGATGAAAAGAAAATACGCAAGGATAAAAATTTGGCATGTAGGAAAAGCAAAATATCAATGGAAACTCAAGATGAAAAGAAAGTGCGTCAAGAAAATAATTTGTCATGTAAGAAGAAAAAATTTTCTACGGAAACGGAAGATGAAAAGAAAGTGCGTCAAGAAAAGAATTTGGCATGTAAAAACGATAATTGGAATAAAAAAACTGCAGGAGTTGCAATAATGTCTTTTAAAGATTTCAATGAAAGTGAAGTTCCACAGAATTATTTAGGTTTAATAAATGTAGAATGTAAGTTTTGAAATGCGTTACATTTTTTGTGTGAAAGACCGTCACATAGATCATATAGATACATCACCGAGGAATGTCCCCGTGAAGAGGACATTATGATATCGCCTGAATGTCACAAAAATATTGCCGCTTGATATCAGCTTGACATTCGAGCAATATTCATTGCTCCAATATAAAGAAATTTTTTTTACATTTCTAATATTAAATTTTTTTGAAAAAAATGAATAAAAAATATGGTTAATGCACACTAGCAACGTAGTCGGCCGCTTGCGGACGACAAAGTTGCTAGTTAGTTATAATTAATGTTTATTTTTATTAATTGTTTAAATTATTTTTTTTATAATCATTTTAGCATGAGATTTTGATGTTTTAAATTTAATATACCGGTATATTAATATTAATATACCGCAGTAAATTAAATTTAATATACACAAATATATTGATATTAATATACCTGTGTATTAATATCACAACATTGTGGTATATTAAATTTAATATACGGTATATGCAAATTACTTCATATACAAGTATATTAAATTCCCCATGGATATTTTTAACAGTGTAGCGACTAGCGCTATTAGTAATCCCACTGCTCGACAGTTAAAGGGGACCTTTTGTCCGAAATAATCGATTTTTTATTGATTGGTGTTTCTGATAGAGAAAACTTTTTTCTATCAGAATCACCAATCAATAAAAAATTAATTTTTTCGGACAAAAGGTCCCTTTTAACTGTCCAGGTCACATATATGAATTTTGATTGTTTGCCACTATATTACTCTCTAAATTTGAATCAGCGGAATCTCGCTGATTCTCAGCTATAAGTATACCACTGATTCCAATCAGCTTATATGCACTGATGAATTAGTGGAATTTCACTGATTTTTCAGCGTATATCCGCTGATTGGTACCAGTGGTATACTTATCGCTGATTCAAATTTAGAGAGTAGAATCTAGAAAAAAAAGACAAATGTTTTTAAATAGAAAAATAATAATTCCTGTAGTATTCATATTGTTTTTTTTTGTTTTTAGGCAATATCAGAAACTAAATTTGGTGATAATAGAACTGTAAGTAATAAGATAAAAAATAATCATTTTTTTCTATCAATTATTTAGACCATTTATATGTATTTATTTAATATAAAAAATAGATATACAATTTTTTTATCTTAATTTAAGGTGGAAATAATTCAAGTGCAACCTAATGGTACAAAAATTGAGGCGGTAAGATAAATAATTTTCTGTTAAAGTTGGGTATTTTTTTATAATAAAAATATAGATGAGGTTTTTAATTCTGCTAAAGTAATATTCGGTTAAATAAGAATTTTTTAAATAAAAATTTGGGTAAAGAGAAATTATGTAAAATGAAAATTCTGACAAACAAAAATTTGATATCTAAAAAATCTGTTAAGTAAAAACTTTTTTTAAAAAAAACGAATTCTATCAAATGCTAATTTGAAAAATGAAAATTCGTGAAAAATAATTATATACCTATCTAATAGAATTCTGTAAAATGTAAATTTTAACTAATTTTTTTTTATAGTAGTATGTGCCCTTTATAAAGATATCTTTTATCAAAAAAAAAAAAAAAAAAAAAAGTTAAACAACATATTTTTCTTTGATTAAAAATAATTTTTATTTTCAGTGGATAGATGTGAAGAAGTTTTCTGATGGTGAAATAATAAAAACGGTAATGAAAAATAACATTTATTCGTTAGTTTCTATTATAATAGAAAATAAAACTGTATGAAAACATTTCTTGATAATTTTTGTCATTTTTTCATTTGAAATGTTTTTTTTGTTTTTAGACAAAAACACTGACTACATATAATGACAATAGCACAATAACAGAGGTAAAAAAAATAATAATTTTTCCCTATTAAAATTTTTTATTAGACCATACTTATATATTTATTTGAGGAGTAAATTTTCAAAATCTGATAAATCCATTTTTCAAAAAAATGGAGATAAACATAAATTTAATATTTTAAGGACCTCACAAATCTTTCTGTCGCTGTTAAATATAAGAAAAAAAATTTCTTAACAACGAATTTTCAATTCAAAAACTTTTGGACATAACCAAGATGTGTTATAATTTTTATGTTTTTTATTAGAAAAAATTACCAATACCTGTAAATCATTAAATTATGATAAAGTTTAATTAAAAGCAGAACTTTTTAAATATAAAAACATTGTTATAGAATTAAACTATTACAAATTTTATATTTTAAAAGTAACTGCAGTGGTTATGTGAGAAAAGTCATTTGTTTCAATTTCTCGAAATAAGAAAATATGGATTTATCACGTTTTGAAAAAATTTGCTCCTCATTTAATATAAAAAAGTAGGAATAAAATTATTTTATTTTTAGGAGGTGAAAATTCATTTGCTACCTAATGGTCAAAAAATTGAGGAGGTAAGAAATATAAATTTATAAAAAAAAGTACAGTAAATTATTTTCTAGAATTTTATGCACCGAATATTCGAAAAGTTCACTTAAAAACACACAATTGAAAAAAAAACTTTTAAAATTGATGCATTTTTTAGGAAGTTATGAGCATTCAAATTGAATTCAAAGTATTCAAAAAATTAAAAAAAAATCATAGAAGCTAACCTCAATTAGTACTAAAAGAAAAAAAAATCGGAGATGTAAATGCAAAATAATGTCTGATTTGGCGTGGAATACATGATGTATATCCAGATAACGAGCGCGTAATAAAACAAAAAATTCAATTAACATAATTTTTTCTTTTTTCTTTCAGAGAATACTGATAACTATATGGAATGATAGCACAGTTAACCAGGTAAAGCTAAAGAATTAAAAAAAAGAAAATTGATGACTTGTTATTAAATACATAATTTCAATTTCTTAAATTTTAGACCGAAATAACTAATACGTTGTCTGATGGTTCAAAAATACTTACAGAGGTACAAACATATAATTCTTTTTATTTTGTGTTAAAATTAAATAACTATGAATTGATGTCATTGTTATTTTATTATTTCACAGAAAAAAAGGTGGGTAAAAAGTTGTAAAGATAGAGGATAAAAGACGTTAGGATACAGGGTAAAGGATAAATTTGTGATGGATAAAAATGTTACTAAAATATTACTAGAAAAATGGATGTCACATTTTAGTAAACTGTCTAATTTTAATAAAAATATTAGTAATTTTACACTTAACTTATTAAATCCAAAAATTTTATATAAATAAGTAATTGCACGTTGAAATATTTTTCCTATAATTATTGTCTATTAATAAAAATATCTTTGACTAATACAACTGACAGCTGACGACAGTACGTAAATAATCAGAACTGGGAAATTACAACTCAACGTCTGTATTGTTGCACGAAAGCAGAGTTGGGTAGTAACTGAATTTTTTGTGCATATTAGGCTGTGTCACTTGTGACTTCAGAGTCGATTCTAGGTGTGACGTCAGAAATCTGGAGGGACAACAAACAGACGACACAATGTTATTCTTATGGGGAAGAAAATTTGATTCCACTTTCATCAATTTTATTCATACTTTAAACACGGAAAACGCTTGTTGACATCTAATAAAATTAAAATGTGTGTTGATAATTAATTTTGTTATGTATTTGATTCAATTGCATTGATAGATTCTCTAAATTCGTGATAAAATATAAATTTTGAGGTTAGAAAAGTTTGTTTACTAATCACATTTTACATTTTAACATTATTAAACAATATCCAGTATGCATGTTATTAAAAAAGATATAAAATATATATTTTAAGTGGGAATTACCGCAGCAGTAAAAGATTTCAAATTAGTAAACAAACACCCCTAACCTCAAAATTTATATTTTATCACGAATTTAGAGAATCTATCAATGCAATTGAATCAAATACATAACAAAATTAATTATCAACACACATTTTAATTTTATTAGATGTCAACAAGCGTTTTCCGTGTTTAAAGTATGAATAAAATTGATGAAAGTGGAATCAAATTTTCTTCCCCATAAGAATATTTTTATTAAAATTAGACAGTTTACTCAAATGTGACATCCATTTTTCTAGTAATATTTTAGTAACATTTTTATCCATCACAAATTTATCCTTTACCCTGTATCCTAATGACTTTTATCCTCTATCTTTACAACTTTTTACCCACCTTTTTTTCTGTGATTTTAAATTTTTAAAATAAATTATAATTTCATTATTTTATTTTTAGTATCATGAAGTATACAGATATGGTGGGAAAGTCGATACTTTAAAAGTGATACCAGTCACTGTGTGGAGAGGTGAAAAGTCAAAGGTAGGGGAAAAGGGATACGGGATTGCATACGTCGAGAGGTACAAAATAGGGTTGACTGAGTATTCCGTGAAGTGCACGGATTGCGGAAAGAAAGGGCTGTTGAGCGTTACGGTGAAATCAGGAACTGTTTCACCGTGTTAGGTCCCTTTTATTTCCTCGGGGAGGTAGGCGTCCTGGGCCTAATGGTTCGAGCAAGGGCTAGAACCAAGATGGCGACTGTATCACGAGCGTTGGTCTCTCTTACTCCAATGTGAGTGTGAGAGTAACGTAAGGCTTCCTAGACCTTAAGGTGTGAGCAAGGTCTGGGAAACAAGATGGCGACCGCGTCACTAGCGTGGCTCTCTCTCACTCCAATGGCGGTGAGAGCAAAGGCTAGGAACAAGATGGCGACCGTGTCACTAGCGTGGCTCTCTCTCACTCCAATGGCGGTGAGAGTAAAGGCTAGGAACAAGATGGCGACCGCGTCACTAGCGTGGCTCTCTCTCACTCCAATGGCGGTGAGAGTAAAGGCTAGGAACAAGATGGCGACCGCGTCACTAGCGTAGCTCTCTCTCACTCCAATGGCGGTGAGAGTAACGCAGGGCTTCCTGGGCCTTAAGGTTTGAGCAAAGGCTAGGAACAAGATGGCGACGGCGTAGTCGGGGTGAGTCTCTCTCACTCCCACGCGGGGTGGGGGTAGCGTAAAGGTTTCTTGCGCCTTAAGGTATTCTCAAGGCTAGAAACAAAATGGCGACGGTATGTCAACGGGGGTGGCCACACCTGTCTTGAACGGACCTTGGGTGAAAAATCCGTAAGCGGACGGCCACACCTCGCATGAACAAACCGTGGGATTGTTTTGATTTTGTTTATTTCTTTTTTTTTTAGGTTTTTTTTTGGTTTTGATACTTTATTTTTTGGTAAATAAATAAGTTTTTATTTATAATTACAAAGGTTTATTAATTCTTAGACTAAGTAACGCTGGAATTGATGCTTTATGGTTGGTGGAGATGGGGTCTGTCACAGTGTAGGCTCGGAGTTTCCGGGCAATTTGCGGCGGTGTATTCAAAGAGTGTAATGCCTTTCTCTTTTCCCGGCGGTTTCTTCCCAGACGAGGGTCTTTAGAACCAGCGGCGCTGTGTGTCGGTGGTTTCGCAGCAGGACCCTTCCACAAGGGTATTAGACGCCATTCAAGAGATGAGACGGTGGTGGGGGTTGTTGCGTGTATTGGAGATGGCGCATGTTGGGCAATTTCTTCCACCAGGATGGGACTAGGATGTAATTCCAAGAAATCCTCCACAGAGGTCTCAGTTTCAATTAAAGGTGCCTCGTATATGGCGTCAAAAGCTGCTAGTAAGGTGGCGGTGTCATCGAGGTTTTGGAAGCACGCATCTCTTTGAGCAGGGAAAAGTTGATCCTCAGGCAACGTCTTCTTCGGAGGATTATTGTTATTCTCGTCCACCTTGGTCTGAAAGATGAGGTTGTCTCGAGGGGTTGGTTGGTAGCAGGCCGGTGGCAAGAGGGGCGGCGCTAAATTGGCAGGTTCGTAGTTGGCTGGTGTAGAGTAGGCCAAAGGTCGTGGTACTCGGGGCAATGGCGGGAAAGCGTGTTCGCGCCTAAATTCTCGCACAATGGCCCGTGCGTCCTCCCTGCGTTTACGAGCGCGTTCCTTATCCCGTGCTCGTTTCCTTTCACTCTTCTGGGGTAATGTGGCTGGTTTCATCTATGGACATATACATTATTAATGATGGGCAGAGGGAGTTTCCTGACTAACAGGACGCTCGTTCTGTTCCAACGGGGATTATTCACCGGGGTGCTTCAGGATTTTACTCCCGGCCCGAGAAAAGTTCCCAGCGGCACAGTGTACTCGCGTGTCGTTGCCAAGGAAACCGTTTTCCAAGATGGCCGTCGTCTTTTCACACGGGCGAACCGCGGCAAAGGTTGACGGGCTGAAAGAAAGCAAAAAGTTAGTGACAAAGAAAACTTACTCGCTGTAGCGAGACAGAGAGTAAGCAAAAAGTAACTCGCCTTGGACGTTTAAAGAAAATTCTTTATTTGCAAGGACTTGAAAAGTAAGATCGAGAAGTCATACAACGAGTGCTAGTGTATTACAACTGACGATGGGTGGTCTCGCACCCACGCTTTTATCTCCGCATGAGCGCATCTCGATTGCGGGAGAATTAATACTACAGATATTTTTAAGATAGCGCTCGTAGTGTAAAAATTAAAAACTAAAAGAGTTACAATTTTTATAAAAATACTTACGATAAAAATTATAAGTTTACATTAACAAAATCGACGTTTTAAACAAATATTACGCGGTGACAAGTATCCAGGAAACAGGATGCGTGAGGAAGTGTCTTGGAGAATAGGACGCTTGGGGTCCGTGCATCTTTGTTGGGGGTCGGAAAAGCGGAGAGAAAGGGAAAATGTTCGGATAGGCTATTCGCTCTGAGAAGAACGCCTAGACTATAAAGTAGGAGTTCGTCGGAAGTAAAAAATGGCAGGAAGGATGAGATACTTGTTACAATCGGCGCTATTTCTCTGTAAATTTGTCTTAACCTAATAACTTTAATATAGATTATTAAATATTTATATAGATAATAATATATAAAACAACAAAATATAATTTTATATATATATATATATATACCAAAAAACACACTACGTACGTTCTTTCACACATGCCATATATATACACATATATATCTATCTTAATTTTCTTATATAAATTATATAAAAATTATTTTATTTTATTTACTTTTTATAATATAAAAAACCACGCGGAAAAGTATGAGGGAAGTTAAAAGACGAAGAAGTGACCGGCGAGAAAGAGAGGCCCACTACGCTAGTAGTGGGGACGCCGAGAGTAACCGTGCGTGGGGGAAAAGAAATGGGCCGCACGGCGGGAGTAAGTAAACGAATGAGAGAAAGCGGAAGGAAGTAGAAAGCGTTTGCTGTGCATTGATTGGAGAAAGGAAGGAAGTGAAAGGAGGCGCGTGGAAAGAAAATGGCGATTAATATATGTGCGTGGCCAATGGTTCTGCCAAAGACAGGGAAGTATGAGTAGTAAGCAGGCCTATACTTTCTGTATGAAAAGTTTAGTCCCGCTAACTCATGCATCCCTCGTACCACCTATAACGGTACGGTATCAAAAGCTAACAAGGTAAAACAAAATAGAATAACTTCTTACTATATATACTATAGGGGAAATGTTGTAATTATACAGGAGATTGAAATCCAAAGACGGATTTTGAAGTTAAAAAATAGTTACATATATTAGTGAAAAAATGTTATCTAGTAAATTAATAAATCAGACCTTGAACTGCAGAAGCAAAACTTATTTAAAACTTGTATTGTAGGTACTAGTATTAATTACTGCGACACTATGTTAAATTCGAGGTTAAGTTGATCGTAGTAATAGGAAACATAAAAAGCTCCATTCAAATCATAACTTTAATTTTTATTTTCAGCAAGAAGAAAAAGATGTTGAAGAAGAGAAAGAAGCATTAGACAATAATGGTGATGATGATGATAAAGATGATTTTGAAGATTATGGTTATAGAGAAATGGAAGGAACACCTGTAACTCCTATTGAGTTAGTAGTCTCAAGTGATAGACTGTTAGAAAAATCTGTATTAGATTTAATATACATGCACGGAGAAAAATGGAAAAACGAATAAAGTAACTTTTACTACTTTAAAAGTAAAATTGGACCTGTCCGAAGTTTCTGCGCATCTCTGGCAACTTTTACTCGAAAAATAGTAAAATTGACTATTTCTGTAGTAAATTTTACTGTTTCCGTAGTAATTTTTACTATTTCTGAAGTAAATTTTACTATTTTTGGAGTAAAAGTTGCCAGAGATGCGCAGAAACTTCGGACAGGTCCAATTTTACTTTTAAAGTAGTAAAAGTTACTTTTTCTTTTTTTCCGTGTGCGTATGAAGCGAATATGCACTACAGGTATTGAAATCTAAGATACATGTATATTAAATTTAAAGTGACAACATGGCGGCTGTAGATGCCTATTTCACCAAACGGTCATTATTTCCTTGATATTGAAAATTTATTTGAAATTGAAACAACAGTGCGTAATTCTTTAACTATTGTGTTGTTTATGTCCAAATAATGTTTTATAAGGGGAAAATTTTTCAAAAAAAACATTCTAAATACAAGAATTTTAATACTTATATGTGACATTTAGGTTAAGTACTATAAATGTCAAATTATATGCATTTTTACAATGTAAATTGATTTAAACTTGTATTTACATGAAAGAAATTACTTTGCTTTATTAATAAAAACCTTATTTTGTACACAAGAACATGTATAAATTGAGTAAAATGCAATTTTTTTATTTGAATTTTTTTCAGTGACAAAATTTAATATACTTTGTATATGAATTACACTCTAATATACCAGTTTCTTAAATTTAAGTACTTTATGTATATTAAAACTACAAACATTTTTAACAGTGTATACAATAAATTTCCATTAAGTACTAAAGGATTTTAATTAATAAAAAATTAACATAATTTACATACACAAAAAAAGTTATAACTACTGTACGGTTTTATTAATTATAGATATTTTATGTATTATATTCTACAATTTGAATCACATATTATTATTAACGTCTAATACAATCCTTTTTAATATTTTTATTACTAAAATTTTGTAATTTAACATGATAATATTAAATAAATTTAAAAATTTAATTATGTTTATTATATTTTATAAATACAATTATGCCATATGAATTTCATGTCAAATGTGAATTATGTCAAATGAAATTTATGTCATATGAAATTTATGTCAAATTAATTTTTCGTCAAATGATTTGATATCAAGTGAGATTTATGTCAAACGAAATTTATTGGGGTTTAATCATGCGAGTCGTTAAATCACCCATCTTCAAAGTCGAGAAGTTCCAAAGAAAAACGTGTTGCAATCTAACAATATTGTATCTTTCATAAGTGGGTCTAATTTAAAATTTTGAAATGTACTTCATGAATTGAAATTCATTATACAAATATTTTAAAAAGTAATGGAATACAAAAATGAAAAATCAAGACCAAATGCTTTTAAATATAAAATATTGCAAACAATTTCAATATTTATTTAAAAACAAAGTTTCTTAAAAAAATGTTTGCCATGTAACTATAATAATTGTAAGAACTCAATGTAAAAACGTGCTCATTCCAACTTTTGATAAAATAAACGAAAGATATTAAATTTTTTAGTACTGAAAAATACGTTCTTTATCAAAGAAAACAAATTTAAAATAACAAAAAAAGAAAATTTCACATAAAAAGGAGTGATTAACTCTACATTTCAAAATAATTATCAGTTATTAAAAAAGAACAGTATTATTCTTGACGAAAATAGTAAACTTATTTTAACACTCAACAACGAAGCATTGCAAGTTTTTACACAGGTTAATGTTATGAATTAATAATTTATCATCATTAAATTAAAATTTTTTTTTAAAAATAAATTATTATTGCATTTACAATAGAATATAAATTTACAATTTTTTATAAGAATTAATTGAATAAAATAATCCAAAAAGAACCGTACAAAAATTTGTCATTTATATCTTAGACAAAATGGGTCGGTGTCTAGCTATAATTCTCCCAGCTGTTTTTGTTTCATTTTTGATAGAGAATTCCATATCTTTACCAATTTATGGACTTCTGAATCCGGTAAGTTTTTATTTATATCACAAAAAAAAACTGAATTCATTATTGTCTTTCATTGTGAGTTTATTATTTGTAATTAAATTTAATTGATAGCAAACTTCACTTGGTTTACACGGTTTATTTAGAATTTGTATATAGCAAAACCTAAAATTTATAAAATATTACAAATTTCTCTGTATTAATATAATTCTTTTTATTAAATATAATTAATTTATTTACAATATGCTTTTAAATTTCGCGCCATTATCAATGGTTTTGGTTTACATAGTTGGTATTGGCGATTCAAACAGCTACACTAGCGCCACAGTTGAACTAACTTAAGCGTGACTTGCTCTGTAGCACTCCATGTGTTTTAAATTATTTTTTTTTATTTAACGCTTAAGGTAAATGCCCTAGTTACCGTCACCTTTGCTTCAGTAATCGTCACATAAGTAATTTGAGAATTTTAAGCAATGTATTGAAAAAATTATTATTATAATTTATTATTTGTATAAAAATAATTATTTTAAATCGAAAAAACATAATCTTTATTTGTTTTAGAAAATATTTTTTGTAATTTTCAATGAAAGTGACGGTAACTAAGACAGTGACGAAGACTGGGGCATTTACCTTAAAAATTATTTTACAAACGCAATAAAAATATCAGAATAATTAAATAATTTGAAATAAACTGTCAAAACAGAGACTGCTTTAGAGCGAGTCACGCTTACGTTAGTTCAACTGTGGCGCTAGTGTAGCTGTTTGAATCGCCAATAATACTTCTACTTGTAAAATTAGCAGCTTTTTTATAACATAAAAATTTTGTTATTTAATTTCATGAACTGTCGTAAATTATCATTGAAAAGTTAATTTTATTTAATTAATATACTCATGAAAAATAATTTTTTTTTGAGTTTTATACACGTAATTATTCACTTTTCCACGATTATTTGAACATTATTCTTGAATTGAAAATAAATAGTTACTTTTAAATCGTTTTATCTAAAAGAAAGAATCAGATTTTATTAAATTATTACAAAACTTACTAAATTCAGCAAAAAAAAATATAATAATAATAATAATAATTTGAAAAATTTTATTTCATTGCATTTAGGTGCAGACAATCGTTGACCCTATTAATAATTCAACAACAAAGATGGTAATACAAAAACAGAAAATATAATATAATTATTTAATTAAGTGTGCTAAGCTGTATACATTATGAAAAAGAAGCGCATGAATTTTCCATCAAAATAAATGATTAGAATTTTCATTTAAAAAAATTTTTTTTTAATTATAATATTTTTTAAAATATTTATTTAATTTTCAATTTAATTAAATTTTATTTAATATTTTTTAAAATATAATATATTCTGACAAATGCTAATTTGAAAAATAAAAATTTGTCAAAAAAAAATGATTATTATAATTTTTATTTTCAGTGGGTAGATGTAACGAAGTTGACTGATACTGAATTTATAAACACGGTAGGCAATGAAAAATAACTTTTATTCTTTGGTTTCTATTATAATAGAAAATAAAAAAAAACATTTCTTAGGTTTTATAATAAAGATATTTTTATATTCATTTCCTGATTTTTTAAAATAATAATTTGCAATATATATTATACTTAATAAAAAATAAAAACTCTTGGTGTTTTCGATTTTATATATAATAAAATATTAATCAGTTAGTTGACTAATTTAATTAATATTTAATTTGTGTTGGGTTACTAAAAATTTCACACACTTTTTCCTAAAAAAAAGTATTACCTGGAGTAGAGATTTCACTATTGCAGTGAAACTTATCTCTGTTACAGTTAAAGCTTTCTTTTCGTATACAATAAATTAAAAAACTGCCAGTACTCGGCCAGTACTGAACCAGTAGTGGTTACCAGTACTGGTGCCAACTCTGGCAGCCAGTACTGGTAAAATGTTATCATCCCAAAGTTACGCCAACTCTGGCGCCAATACTGGGTTCCAGTACTGCGCCATTAGTAAATTTTTGATTGGGTTTATACATTTTTACGTATTTTTTTACAAAAAAAAATATAGCGAGAACGATTGGAGTTGATTATCATAGCGTTTTCAAGGAAAAACTGATAATTTTCGATCTATGAGTCTATCTACGTGTTTTTCATGCTCACATTACAGGAAAAATTAAGCAAAATTTGAATTTTTCCATCGGCCTTCACACTTTAAGCCCCTCAAATTTTAGGCTTAATAGTACAGAACCCTCGGTTTTAATGCGAGTGTAACTCGCACTTGTCCGATTTTTCACTTCAAATATGTGTCATTTAAAAATAAATTATTGAATTTTTTTTCTCTTGTTTTGATTGATCGCAATATTGCCCTACAACGGAAGAACACACATAAGCCACATTGTCGCTTTGGTCGAGTTCTGTATATAAACACTGCAGAAGAGCGACTGAAGCGACAATGTGGCTTATGTGTTTTCTTTCGTTGTAGGGCAGAATAAATATGTCATTATTATAATGTAGAAAAAAATACAAATGTTTTTATATCGAAAAATAATAATTTTTGTAGGTAATATTCATGTTTTTTTTTCTTTTTAGACAAAAACACTAACTACATATTATAGTGATAATAAGACAATTGATAAGGTAAAAAATAATAATTTTTTCCTATTACACTAGAGCCTCGATTTAATGATAAGTTCGGTTCTTTGTCACTAAATGAAGGTCGATGTCAAAATGGTAAACTCGCTTTCTCATTGGTGCAAGCTTATACTTCGCCGGACAAGATGGTGGAATTTCTCAGTAATGTCATTAAATGCTCATATTAAGTGTCACTAAATCCATAGGCTCTAGGGTAATTTTATTAGACCATTCTTATGTATTTATTTAATAAAAAAAAAATAGAAAAAAAATTATTTTATTTTATTTTATTTTTAGACAGTAAAAATTCATTTGCTACCTAATAGTCAACAAATTGAGGAGGTAAGAAATATAATTTTATGAAAAAATTATAGTAAATTATATTTCTATAATTTTTTGCGCCTCATTTTCGATAAGTTCACCTAAAAACACACAAATAAAAAAAAATGTTTTTAAATTGATGTATTTTTAAGAAAGTTATGAACATTAAAAAAAAATCGATAAAATTTTGAAATTTTGTAAAGTTCACTTCCCGTAAACGGCTTGGAAAAAAAATTGAAAAAAATCATAGAAGCTAGTCTCAATTAGGGAAAGGTTGGGTAACGGAAGAGTTAGGGTAATGGGAGCTTTTAAATTTTAAGTACTTAGAGACTTTGAATTACGCAATGGTAACTCCAAACTATAACCCCAAAATATTTCATGTTTACTGCACTGCAATCCTTCTGCCATTAAAGGACATACGTAGTCACATTCGGTAGTGATAATGGAGATAACAAAAATAAATCTAACATCAGCAATAATTCTCAGAACAATAATTTGTTAGGCGCTAATGAGTCAGTCAACATCACCTTCAGCAAAAATTCATTAAAAGACCAAAAATCATCATCATCAACATAATCGATTCAAAAATCATAAAATAACTCCATTACAATATTCTTTCAATGAGAAAAATACATTGTTGGCTCACCTGAATATATTTTCTTCTTTTCACACAAAACATAAATATCTATTTAATTAATTTAATTATTTAATTTAATTTTATCTCAAATATTTGAATATTCCACAATTTTACAATATTTCCACCACGCTACTTTCGACGGTGGTAAAGAAATTGAGGAATTGAATAATGAATTTTCGTAAAAACGCCGATGACCACGAGAAAAACTTGCCTAACCTTACCATATATTATTGCGCGCGGGCGAACAAAGGCGACGGTAGCGCCACGGCGCGAAACCCATTTAATTTTGAATAATTTACATCATACAAAAAAATCAAAGTCACACAAAATAAATCTTTCATTATCGTAATAATAGCTATATTTTCTTTACTTTATTTTAAATCTGTGTGACGTGTCAAAATGTCACGTCACAGCGTATTTAATTGCTAAGAATCCATATTTATGTTTTATTGTCTAAAATGTGTTATTATTAAATATTTTAATACTAAAGAAGCTGTAAGTCTTTTTTATGTCTTAAATATTTTGTAAAATGTTTATCTGTCGAGAATAAATTAAAAAAATAAAAAAAATAGAAATTATATAATTTTATTAGAATTTTAAGTAAGGGCTCCCAAAACCCTACGGGTGGGGTAATGGGAGAAAATTCATTTCTTTAGAAAACATTCTTTTTGCAAAACATTTTTTCTTAATTTATAATTAATTATAATTAAAGATAAACAACAAAAGAAGTAAAAAATGAACAAAACAATATTTTATTATAAGAATAAGTTGGTTTTTTAAATCATTTTCCTTAAGGGGCTCTAATTCCTCCACCTTCCTCGAGTACTAAAGAAAAAATTTCAAAAAAGTCCGAGATATAAATGCAAAATAATGTCTGATTTGTCATAGAATACCTCATGTATATCCAGATAATCAGCGTAATAAAACAACAAATTTAATTAACATAATTTTTTCTTTTTGCTTTTAGAAAATGCAGATAATTACATGGAATGATAATTGCACATTTAACCAGGTAAAGTTAAATAATTAAAAAAGACAATTATTGATAACTTGTTATTAAATACATAATTTAAATTTCTTTAATTTTAGACCGAAATAGTTACTAAATTGTTGAATGGTTCAAAAATACTTAACGAGGTACAAACATATATAATTCTTTTTATCTTGTGTAAAAATCTATTAACTATTGATTTTATTGTTGTTTTATTACTTTAAAATTTTTTAAATATGTAAAGTATAATTTCATTATTTTATTTTTAGTATCATGAAGAATTCAAAGATGTTGATAAAGTCCATACTTTAAAAGCTGAAAAGGTAAAACAAAAAAGAAGTGACTTCTTACTATAAAATATAGGGTAAATGTTGTAATTATAATAAGGATTGAAATCCAAAGACGAATTTTGAAGTTAAAAATTTTTGTTCTCAGCAAGAAGAAAAAGATGTTAAAGAAGAGGAAGAAGCAGATGATGTTGATGATGATAATAGATATAAAGCAGAAACATCTATAGCTCCTATTGAATTTTCAGTCAAAAGTGATTAATAATAAATTTCCATTAAGTACTGAAGGATTTCAAATATGTAATCAAAAAATTAACATTCATTAAAAATATTAAGAAATGAGTCATTTTTCATTAAAAAAGCATTATCTATCTTTGTCTCACGTGTGTAGGAATAGAAAAGATGAAACTATTTTTATGACAAATGTTAAATGAATATATCAAATCAGTTCTATATGTCAACACAGAAAAAACCTAGTCTCATTTTTGTTGTAAGTCAAAATGAGCCAATGCTAAACGACATAGACAGTGGCGCCACCAACCTGGCTCATTTTTGGTGCACTTTAAAATGAGTAGCGTAAGTTACTCATTTTAAGACCAAGTTTTTCTGTGAAATGAATTTTATATTAAATGAAATTACGCCATATGAATTTCATGTCAAATGTAAATTATGTCAAGTGAAATTTATGTCATATGAGATTTATGTCAAATTAATTTTTCGTCAAATGATTTGATATCAAGTGAGATTTATGTCAAATAAAATTTATTGGGGTTTAATCATGCGAGTCGTTAAATCACCCATCTTCAAAGTCGAGAAGTTCCAAAGAAAAACGTGTTGCAATCTAACAATATTGTATCTTTCATAAGTGGGTCTAATTTAAAATTTTGAAATGTACTTCATAAATTGAAATTCATTATACAAATATTTTAAAAAGTAATGGAATACAAAAATGAAAAATCAAGACCAAATGCTTTTAAATATAAAATATTGCAAACAATTTCAATATTTAGTTAAAAACAAAGTTTTTTAAAAAAATGTTTGCCATGTAACTATAATAATTGTAAGAACTCAATGTAAAAACGTGCTCATTCCAACTTTTGATAAAATAAATGAAAGATATCTTAAATTATTTAGTATTGAAAAATATGTTCATTATCAAAGAAAAAAAATTTTAAATAATAAAAAAAAAATTTTCACATTAAAAGAAAGACTAAAATTATTATCAGTTAATGAAAAGAACAGTATTATTCTTGACGAGTATAGTAAACTTATTTTAACACTCAACGACGAAGCATATTGAATAATTTTACGCAGGTTAATTTTATGTTCAAATATATTAAAATTGAAAATTTTTTTAATAACAATAATTTAATTATTTTGTTTGCCAAAATATATCAGATTTATTCTTATTGCACTTATAATACAGTGTAAATTTGCAATTTTTTTATAAGAAATAATTTAAACAAATAAACTAAAAATGAACCATAAAAAAATTTGTCATTTAATTTTTTAGACAAAATGGGTCGGTGTATAGCTATAATTCTCCTAGCTATTTTTGTTTCATTTTTGATAGAAAATTTCATATTTTTACTGTAGTAACTAGCGATGTATCCTCGCTCGTGAGAATTTTTATTATCAATTATTAACCTAACTAGCTAAAAGAAACGCGCGTAAACGCGCGAGATATCTGCAATTTTTTATGAAAAATTAAAAATTTATTTTTATTTGACGGACACTTTTTGGAATTTTGATCTCACAAAAATAATAATATTATTTTTGTAATCGTTACTGTATTACTATTTCAACATTATGGTGTTATAATAATATAATACCTATTATTGTCCAGTCAATATGACCTTTAAATTTTGTACTCAAATAAAGATTATACAATGCTACGATCGTCGAATTGTCAGCAATACATTTAAATGACGCATCTCAGGATCCATGCAGGGTGAATTCCTATTTTGTTTACCACAAGGCCCATGAACTTAAAATCGCTTTACAATGTTAGAAAGTTCTGGATTCTTTATTTCGTCTGTGATTTCAGCACATATCATTTTATTTAAAGTTTCTGAATCGCAAATTTGTGTACGTAAACAAATAGTTAAACGCACATGTGTCAATCCACGCTTTTTTCTTCTCTATGAAAGACGATACATATAAAATTGTAAATGAATAAAATTACAAGTACCTTGAGTATGCTTAAGGTTAACAGTCCATCCAGGATCACCATAAGGAAACATTGTAGGATATGTTATAGGATCAAAATTTTCCCTAACAATAAGACTAGAAATTATTTTCTTATTATTTTCTGTTGTGCATACTGAATTTACATCAACATGTAAATCCCTCTTCAATTTCTGTAGATAATTTCTTCATCTTACAGGACAAACTTTTTTCTTTGGGTATTTTCTTTTCATTCTCAGTTTCAGTAGACAGAACTCTGTTGTCATTTTTACTGGGAAAAGTCTTTAAAAAATACGAAAGGTTTAGTTCACCATTTTGAACTTCTTTAGCTCGATTTATGAAAAGACAATTCCAATCATTCTCTACAAATCGAAATCCTAATATTAGACATTCTAACTGCCGGAAAATTATTTAATTAATTGTTTTCAAAAAATGATATCAAATGCTTGCTCATTATATTATTATCAGTTTCATAAATTAATCTTTTAATTTACACTGTTAACCAATACAGATGTTGCAAATGCTATTGCATTATACTTTACACTTAACTGTACCAATCGGTTGTTGATCAACATCTACAAAAAATTCTGTTGGTTTAAAAGGGAACAATCTAATTAAATATTCTATTTGGTGAATATTCAAACACCCTGCATTAAGGCTATCAAAAATATAAAGTCTTACTCCATCGTAATAAACACAAATCCAATGACCAGAATTGTTATTACCGCTAAAAACTATTTGAATATGTTTAACTCTTTCTCTAATTGGAACAATTAAATCAAGCATTTGTAAATACAAAGTACTTTGCATAATGAAAAAAGAATTTGAATCATTTTTTGATAATTCTTGAAATTTATACATGTGCATATCATTTAACATTTCATTTACATTTTCAATAATTTTAAAATCTTCATTACTTAAAATAAAATACTCTTCTATCTTCGACATGGTATCCTTCTTCAACTTTTAAACTGTTGATAAAGCCAATTTTCAAAACAAATCGTTTATTTTAGTTTATTGCTTTAAAAAATTTACTTACATGTGTTTCACCTATAAAATATTGCATTAACTATAATTCAGCTAACTAATGCAACAATGATAGTCTTTTATGAACGTAAATTAGCGTTGTTTAATCTTTTTCCACATTACATCATTTTCGATAATGATTATTATTGAACTTATTTTCCTCTGCACTTTTTATTAATATTCAAATCAATATTCAACTCACAAACTATTATTTAACCCATAAAACAACTTTAACCCTTAAAACAATATTCAAACCTCTTTCTATCTATTTAAATACTTTTCCAAAAGCCAGCATCCTCTATTCTCAAACAGTCAATATTTTTTTCAATATCGAAATATATTCAATGCCAATGTTATCCAATATCATATTTTATTATCCTCAAAATCCAAATATCTTTAATGCCAAAATTACCCAATACCAAAAAATTTTTCCAAAAGACAGCTTCCACTATTATAAAACAATCAATATTTTTGTTGCATTATTAAAATATATTCAATACTAATGTTATCCAATATCTTTCTTTATCCTCAAAATCGTAATATCTTTAATGCCAATGTTATTTAATACCAAAAAAACTAAATGGATTGAAGTATTTTTTATATGAAACATTTAAGACAGCCAAAAGAAACAAATATCATGCAATATCCATATATATCTTCAAAATACATATATAATTATTAATACTATACAAAAATAGGAATATATTTTTTGGGCCCAATACAAAAATGAAAAAGACAAATATAATATAAGAACATTCAACACCTGCAGTAAGTTATTGATCGACAAATTGCAGAAAAATATTATAAACTTTATAATAATCAAGTTAAGTTACCTGAGACTATTAGAATCTTTTTTTAGCAACACTACTACAATGTTGTTGAAACGGTAGTCGGTTGCTCTATGTTTATCTTACATCAGCAGTAGCCGTTTCACTCCATTGAGGAGAAGTGTTATACCCCCACTCTACCAATCTGGGCCTATATTAAGTTCTCGCGAGTGGCAGATATTACGGTAGGCCTGAGTGGCGTCCTCGGGGATAGGTGTTGGTAAGTTAAGTATGAATACACCACTTCCACTCACTGGGATTAAACGGTTATCATCTATATCGCATATACAATAATAAAAAAATTTCCCTCAACCCAAGACTGTTAGGACGAATCGAGCGCTCACGGATTGGGTCCTGAAAAGGGAAGTGGTATATCCTCACTCTATCGGCCTGTCCCGGGCTCAGACCTCGAGTAAGTCAATTACAGCGGGGGCCTGTATGACGTTCTCGGGCTTAATGACAATATTATTTTATGACGCTTAATGAGTTTTTCAAAAAAATTATAAAATTTTTAAATATAAACACTGTTTAATTTATTTTGACATATTCGTTTTCCTCAGAAGTTCACGATTACGATCATATATTGCTCCAATAATAACACAGGCACAAAAAAAAATTCAGGTCCCAAAAAACACAACCCCATATTCCTATGTTTTTGGGGTCGCTGAAACCGAATATGACCATGAACAATTTTTTTGACGACCCATTTTCCCGCAACCACCCCTTGCACCTACTCACGGGGGTTGGAGTTTCAAATTAAAAAAAAATTGAGTATGGTGTCTATTCCAATGTTTTTTGGGTCGCTTCATCCCAAAAACACCATTGAAAACAAATCCTTTCTTTCCTTAACCCCGTACAACCCTCTGGGAGGGGGTTAAAATTTTAAATTTCACAAAAAGTCAAGTTCGGTGTCTAATCCTACGTTTCTTGGGGCGCTGAAATCAAAAAACACCACCAAAAACAAATTCTTTACCCCCTTAACCCGCTAGAACCCCTGGGAGGGGGTTGAAATATTATTTTTCACGGCGCTAAGTGTAGAAAAATAAATTTCCTTAAGACATTATAGGTGCGTATTTGTGTAATCATAGGTAACTTTCTAGAAAACTTTATTGTTGGTGATGTTTTTTGGTTTCAGCGACCCAAAAAACATAAGATTAGACACCGTACTCGACTTTTCGTGAAAAATGAAATTCCAACCCCCTCCAGGGGTTGTAGGGGGTTAAAAGGGTAAAGAATGTGTTTTTGTTGGTGTTTTTTGATTTCAACGACCAAAAAAACATAGGAATAGATACCGTACTCGACCTTTGTAAAAATTGAAATTCCAACCCCTTCTCAGGGGGTTGTAGGGGGTTAAGGGAGGAAATGACTTGTTTTTGGTGGCGTTTTTCGGTTTCAGCGCCCCAAAAAACATAGGATTAAACACCGTACTCGAATTTTCGTGAACAATGAAATTCCAACCCCCTCCCAGGGGTTGTAGGGGGTTAAGGATTTGTTTTTAGTGGTATTTTTCGGATTAAGCGACCCAAAAAACATTGGAATTGACACACTACTCGATTTTTTTTTTTTGAAACTCCAACCCCTGTGAGTAGGTGCAAGGGGGTAGTTGCGGAAAAACGGGTCGTCAAAAAAAATTTTCTTAGGCAGACGATTTTATTGCATATTCAAGCACAGAATACACTGAAAAGTGTAGGAAAAAAATTGACACCCAGATCTGAGTGGAGGAAGACCCTTTTTACCACCAAAAACGCATCCAAAAGCATAAAAAACGTACCAAAAAAATTCAATTTTTCTTAGGCAGACGATTTTATTGCATATTCTTGCACAGAATACACCGAAAAGTGTAGAAAAAAATTGACACCCAGATCCGGGTAGAGGAAGACCCTTTTTATGACCAAAAACGCATCCAAAAGCATAAAAAACATACGAAAAAAATTCAATTTTTCTTAGGCAGACGATTTTATTGCATATTCTTGCACAAAATACACCGAAAAGTGTAGAAAGAAATTGACATCCAGATCCGACTTTAACTTTAACATTGTTTAAACATTGTTTAAACATTGTTTAAAAAACGTTTTAAACGCAAAATTTTGAATTTTCCGCACATAACAGACAGAGTCTATGTTATTCTGAACATTTTCCAAAAGGTTTTTTTAAAAAATATTCAAAATTGTGCTTTTCACATACCTGAGAAGTTTGCGTGTCATGCGCCATGATTTGTGACGTCACGAAGGTTCAAATGCTCTTAAATATCAAATATTGCAAAACATTTTAATATTAATTTAAAAACAAAGGTTCTTGAAAAAAATTTCTGCGATTATAAGAATAATAATAAATTGTAAGTGCGGAATGTGAAAACGTGCTCATTCATACTTTCGATAAAATAAACGGAGTATCTTCGATTATTATTAAATATATGTTTTATTTAAAAGCAAAACTTTAAAGTCACGAATAAGAAAATTTGACATAAACAGATTAATTAACTCTACATTCCAAAACGATTGTCAGTTAATAAAAAGAAAAGTTTTAGGTTTTACGAGTATCAAACTTATTTCAACACTCAACGAAGAAGCATTGAATAATTTAACGCAGGTCAATTTTATTTTCAAATATTTTAAGATTAAACAATTTTTTAATTTAATAATTTAATTTTTTCGTCTGCTAACATATAATATTAAATTCATCAAAATTGTTAATATTTATATTATAAATTTTGGATTAACGAAAGCTTTCATATTATAGTTATTGTTTAATATAAATATATTATTAGGTAATAAATTGGAAATGATTTTCAAAATGTTTAATTATTTTTAAATCTTTATTTTTTTATTGTCTAATTAATTAATCAATAATTTATTATTATTAAATTTAAAATTTTATTTTTTATAAATAAATTATTATTGCATTTACAAAATATCTAATATAAATTTTCAAATATTTGTTATAATAATTAATTCAATAAAAATGATATAAAACTAAATCATAAAAAAATTTGTCATTTATTTTTCAGACAATATGGGTCGGTGTCTAGCTACAATTCTTCTAGCTATTTTTGTTCTATTTTTTATAGAGAATTCTATATCTTTACCAATTGATGAACATCCATTGGTAAGTTCTATTCTATTATTTCTCAAAAAAAAACTTAAATTCATTTTTGTTTTCAAATTGAGTTGATAGCAAACTTCACTTGCTTGGTTTATTTCAAATTTGCATATAGCAAAACCTAAAATTTATAAAATATTAATATGTGACCTGGAGTGGGATTACAACTAGCGACAGCGTTACGAAGATTTCGCTACGTAGCGATTCAAAGCTACATTCACATTAAAAAATTTTCTAGCTATCGGGTGACTTAAAAAAATGGTATCATTTTGATAGATTTAGGTTGGTACAATTGTTTTTCTGTGTATTTTTTATCTCATATTTGCTTTATTTTATAATTTAACAATTTTTTTTATAATCAAGAATGTATCAAATTCATAAGGATTTCCCACGATGAAGAAATGAAGCAATTAAAAGAAGTATCTAAAAAGCTGACAAATTTTTCAAATCTCAAAAGTTATAAAAAGGCAATTCGAGGCAATGATAATTATTAATATTATTATAATATTAACACTTTTATATCCAATTTCTATCCTTACAAGAAATCAAGAAAATAATTCAACTTTATCCAATAATAATAAACTATTTACTTTTCTTTTTGATATTAATAATTAAATATTTATTGCATTTATATTTATTATTTTTTTTCATAGGATTAAAAGTTTCTATTAGACATTGTCTAAAATGGGAAAAAAATTTAATTAAAAAAATTTTGAATATATAACCTCAGAAATAGAATTTTTGTTCTCACGCAAGGGTTCACTAAAAAAATGTATAGGGCATTTTTTGTGAGTTAAAGAGTTTTTCAAAAAATGAAAATTTAAATTAATTTAATTAAAAAATTAAAAAATAATTAATTTAATTTAAAAAATGTATCAATTTTTAAATTTAGGCTGGTAAAGAATATCCTAATTTTAAATCTCATGCAATTATTATTTTTAATTCTTGCAATAAGATTAATTTTCTTAATTTTTATTTATTAAATTAAATTAAAAAAATTTATTTCCCTTTATAAATTATTTTAACATTAAACTAGATAATTTATTTTTAAAGTTGTTATTTATTAAATTAATAGCTTATTTGCAATATTGAAGTATAATTTATTTCGTCACTAGTTAATTATTTTATTTGAAACTAATAGTTGGCAAACATGAAGTTAGAGAATTGATTCCACCTTCATGTTGTATTTGTTTGCTACGTAGATAAAATATTTTAGGAAATTGACATGAATTCTATGTCAATGTCCTTATTTAGAGGGGTTATGTTTATAGTTTCTTCTAAATTACCATCTTGCAGTTTAAGCTTTGAAGAAACTGTCAACGGTAATTTATTTTGGTCATGATTTGGAACAAATTTCACTAAAAATATGTAAGTTTTTAATTCTAAATAACAAAAAGCGCTACATATAGCGACTAGCGCTATTAGTAATCCCACTGCTCGACAGTTAAAGGGGACCTTTTGTCCGAAATAATCGATTTTTTATTGATTGGTGTTTCTGATAGAGAAAACTTTTTTCTATCAGAATCACCAATCAATAAAAAATTAATTTTTTCGGACAAAAGGTCCCTTTTAACTGTCCAGGTCACATATATGAATTTTGATTGTTTGCCACTATATTAGAATCTAGAAAAAAAAGACAAATGTTTTTAAATAGAAAAATAATAATTCCTGTAGTATTCATATTGTTTTTTTTTGTTTTTAGGCAATATCAGAAACTAAATTTGGTGATAATAGAACTGTAAATAATAAGATAAAAAATAATCATTTTTTTCTATCAATTATTTAGACCATTTATATGTATTTATTTAATATAAAAAATAGAAATACAATTTTTTTATCTTAATTTAAGGTGGAAATAATTCGTGTGCTACCTGATGGTACAAAAATTGAGGAGGTAAGATAAATAATTTTCTGTTAAAGTTGGGTATTTTTTTTATAATAAAAATATAGATGAGGTTTTTAATTCTGCTAAAGTAATATTCGGTTAAATAAGAATTTTTTAAATAAAAATTTGGGTAAAGAGAAATTATGTAAAATAAAAATTCTGACAAACAAAAATTTGATATCTAAAAAATCTGTTAAGTAAAAACTTTTTAAAAAAAAAACGAATTCTATCAAATGCTAATTTGAAAAATGAAAATTCGTGAAAAATAATTATATACCTATCTAATAGAATTCTGTAAAATGTAAATTTTAACTAATTTTTTTTTATAGTAGTATGTGCCCTTTATAAAGATATCTTTTATCAAAAAAAAAAAAAAAAAAAGTTAAACAACATATTTTTCTTTGATTAAAAATAATTTTTATTTTCAGTCGATAGATGTGAAGAATTTTTCTGATGGTGAAATAATAAACACGGTAATGAAAAATAACATTTATTCGTTAGTTTCTATTATACCGTGGATGTACCAGTTACCGTCCATGTCCCAGTTTCCGTCCATTTTACAAATATCTCGTATAGTAATTTAAATTATTTTTTAACAATAATTTATTCCTTTTGGCACGCAATCGACTTATTAGTTTAAGTAAACAAATAAAAGAAAATAATTTTTTTATAAATGTTATTTTGAAAATTAAACTGGACGGAAACTAGGTCTTAGGTGGACGGTAACTGGGACATCCACGGTATAATAGAAAATAAAACTATGAAAACATTTCTTGATAATTTTTGTCATTTTTTCATTTGAAATGTTTTTTTTGTTTTTAGAAAAAAACACTGACTACATATAATGACAATAGCACAATAACAAAGGTAAAAAAAAATAATAATTTTTCCCTATTAAAATTTTTTATTAGACCATACTTATATATTTATTTGAGGAGTAAATTTTCAAAATCTGATAAATCCATTTTTCAAAAAAATGGAGATAAACATAAATTTAATATTTTAAGGACCTCACAAATCTTTCTGTCGCTGTTAAATATAAGAAAAAAATATTAATATTAATATATCGGTATATTAATATTAATATACACAAATATATTGATATTAATATACCTGTGTATTAATATCACAACATTGTGGTATATTAAATTTAATATACGGTATATGCAAATTACTTCATATACAAGTATATTAAATTCCCCATGGATATTTTTAACAGTGTAGCGACTAGCGCTATTAGTAATCCCACTGCTGGACAGTTAAAGGGGACCTTTTGTCCGAAATAATCGATTTTTTATTGATTGGTGTTTCTGATAGAGAAAACTTTTTTCTATCAGAATCACCAATCAATAAAAAATTAATTTTTTCGGACAAAAGGTCTCTTTTAACTGTCCAGGTCACATATAGTAATTTTGATTGTTTGACACTATATTAGAATCTAGAAAAAAAAGACAAATGTTTTTAAATAGAAAAATAATAATTCCTGTAGTATTCATATTGTTTTTTTTTTGTTTTTAGGCAATATCAGAAACTAAATTTGGTGATAATAGAACTGTAAATAATAAGATAAAAAATAATCATTTTTTTCTATCAATTATTTAGACCATTTATATGTATTTATTTAATATAAAAAATAGAAATACAATTTTTTTATCTTAATTTAAGGTGGAAATAATTCGTGTGCTACCTGATGGTACAAAAATTGAGGAGGTAAGATAAATAATTTTCTGTTAAAGTTGGGTATTTTTTTTATAATAAAAATATAGATGAGGTTTTTAATTCTGCTAAAGTAATATTCGGTTAAATAAGAATTTTTTAAATAAAAATTTGGGTAAAGAGAAATTATGTAAAATGAAAATTCTGACAAACAAAAATTTGATATCTAAAAAATCTGTTAAGTAAAAACTTTTTTAAAAAAAAACGAATTCTATCAAATGCTAATTTGAAAAATGAAAATTCGTGAAAAATAATTATATACCTATCTAATAGAATTCTGTAAAATGTAAATTTTAACTAATTTTTTTTTATAGTAGTATGTGCCCTTTATAAAGATATCTTTTATCAAAAAAAAAAAAAAAAAAAGTTAAACAACATATTTTTCTTTGATTAAAAATAATCTTTATTAGACCATATTTATATATTTATTTGAGGAGTAAATTTTCAAAATCTGATAAATCCATTTTTCAAAAAAATGGAGATAAACATAAATTTAATATTTTAAGGACCTCACAAATCTTTCTGTCGCTGTTAAATATAAGAAAAAAAATTTCTTAACAGGGTCAAACCATTATATTTCAACTAAAGTGGTCGCTGACTAATTTTTAAAAATTATAATACTTTGCAGGAATGATTTTGAAGTTATCAAGATCACGAAATGAAAAGAATTTTATTAAAAATTTAAATATTTATTGTAAAATATGAATTTAAAATATATGAGGTGCTAAAAACTGTCAATTTTTTAGCCATTAGAAATTATGCAAAAAAACATAGAATTTACCATAAAAATAAAAAAAAATTATTGGAATTTACTAAGAATGAATAAATTTATCATTATCAATTGATATAATTATTTAAAGATGTGAAGTAATATATAAAATATGATTTCCAAGTGCACCTGTCAAATAACCTAATTTTGCGATTTTTATTCATTAATTATAAAAAATAGAAAACATTAAATTAAATAAAAACTTACCAAATATGAAGTTCTTGCCATAAACTTTTAGAATTTCTTTGCACTTTTCTTCTTTTCTATTCATAAGTATGAAAAATTTAAAAAATAAAATAGCTACTTTGTCTATTTTCACTATTTTTGAAAGTCAATAACTTTCTTGGAGAAAAATGAAAAAATATGGGGTTTCGAAAATTATTTAAATACACACTACATATACATTCACTGAAAATTTCGCATTGGTCCCGAAAAAAAAAAAAAGAAAATTGATGACTTGTTATTAAATACATAATTTCAATTCCTTAAATTTTAGACCGAAATAACTAATACGTTGTCTGATGGTTCAAGAATACTTAAAGAGGTACAAACATATAATTATTTTTATTTTGTGTTAAAATTTATTAACTATGAATTGATGTCATTGTTATTTTATTATTTCACAGAAAAAAAGGTGGGTAAAAAGTTGTAAAGATAGAGGATAAAGGAGGTTCTACAATAGATGCAAGACCAAGTACAAGTACAAGTGCAAATTTATTGTACTTGGATGCGCGCGCAACGTATTGCCAACTGTCGCTGAGGCGCAGTTGAATATACTGGATTCAATTTTTAATTATAAATTAAATAAATTAAATATAATTGCTGCCATTGCTGGTTGCATTTAATTAAGTGAGGTAAGTAATATTAAAAAAAATAAATAATATTATTTTGAAAATAAAAAAATTGTGGGTTATGTGTACATAACTTATATGCAGTTTTAAAACATTGAAAGTAATTTTACATTTTTCACAGCGTAATAAAATTGTAATTGTTTAATTAATTAATTAATTAATTAAATTAATTAATTGGTTTACATTTTTCACAGCGTAATAAAATTGTAATTGTTTAATTAATTAATTAATTAAACAATTACAATTTTATTACGCTGTAAAAAATGTAAAATTACTTTCAATATTTTAAAACTGCATATAAGTTATGTACACATAACCCACAATTTTTTTATTTTAAAAATAATATTATTTATTTTTTTAAGATTACTTACCTCACTTAATTAAATGCAACCAGCAATGGCAGCAATTATATTAAATTTATAATTAAAAATTAAATCCAGTATTTTCAACTGCGCCTCAGCGACAGTTGGCAATACGTTGCGCGCGCATCCAAGTACAATAAATTTGCACTTGTACTTGTACTTGGACTTGGTCTTGCATCTATTGTAGAACCTCCTTAAAAGACGTTAGGATACAGGGTAAAGGATAAATTTGTGATGGATAAAAATGTTACTAAAATATTACTAGAAAAATGGATGTCACATTTTAGTAAACTGTCTAATTTTAATAAAAATATTAGTAATTTTACACTTAACTTATTAAATCCAAAAATTTTATATAAATAAGTAATTGCACGTTGAAATATTTTTCCTATAATTATTGTCTATTAATAAAAATATCTTTGACTAATACAACTGACAGCTGACGACAGTACGTAAATAATCAGAACTGGGAAATTACAACTCAACGTCTGTATTGTTGCACGAAAGCAGAGTTGGGTAGTAACTGAATTTTTTGTGCATATTAGGCTGTGTCACTTGTGACTTCAGAGTCGATTCTAGGTGTGACGTCAGAAATCTGGAGGGACAACAAACAGACGACACAATGTTATTCTTATGGGGAAGAAAATTTGATTCCACTTTCATCAATTTTATTCATACTTTAAACACGGAAAACGCTTGTTGACATCTAATAAAATTAAAATGTGTGTTGATAATTAATTTTGTTATGTATTTGATTCAATTGCATTGATAGATTCTCTAAATTCGTGATAAAATATAAATTTTGAGGTTAGAAAAGTTTGTTTACTAATCACATTTTACATTTTAACATTATTAAACAATATCCAGTATGCATGTTATTAAAAAAGATATAAAATATATATTTTAAGTGGGAATTACCGCAGCAGTAAAAGATTTCAAATTAGTAAACAAACACCCCTAACCTCAAAATTTATATTTTATCACGAATTTAGAGAATCTATCAATGCAATTGAATCAAATACATAACAAAATTAATTATCAACACACATTTTAATTTTATTAGATGTCAACAAGCGTTTTCCGTGTTTAAAGTATGAATAAAATTGATGAAAGTGGAATCAAATTTTCTTCCCCATAAGAATATTTTTATTAAAATTAGACAGTTTACTCAAATGTGACATCCATTTTTCTAGTAATATTTTAGTAACATTTTTATCCATCACAAATTTATCCTTTACCCTGTATCCTAATGACTTTTATCCTCTATCTTTACAACTTTTTACCCACCTTTTTTTCTGTGATTTTAAATTTTTAAAATAAATTATAATTTCATTATTTTATTTTTAGTATCATGAAGTATACAGATATGGTGGGAAAGTCGATACTTTAAAAGCTAACAAGGTAAAACAAAATAGAATAACTTCTTACTATATATACTATAGGGGAAATGTTGTAATTATACAGGAGATTGAAATCCAAAGACGGATTTTGAAGTTAAAAAATAGTTACATATATTAGTGAAAAAATGTTATCTAGTAAATTAATAAATCAGACCTTGAACTGCAGAAGCAAAACTTATTTAAAACTTGTATTGTAGGTACTAGTATTAATTACTGCGACACTATGTTAAATTCGAGGTTAAGTTGATCGTAGTAATAGGAAACATAAAAAGCTCCATTCAAATCATAACTTTAATTTTTATTTTCAGCAAGAAGAAAAAGATGTTGAAGAAGAGAAAGAAGCATTAGACAATAATGGTGATGATGATGATAAAGATGATTTTGAAGATTATGGTTATAGAGAAATGGAAGGAACACCTGTAACTCCTATTGAGTTAGTAGTCTCAAGTGATAGACTGTTAGAAAAATCTGTATTAGATTTAATATACATGCACGGAGAAAAATGGAAAAACGAATAAAGTAACTTTTACTACTTTAAAAGTAAAATTGGACCTGTCCGAAGTTTCTGCGCATCTCTGGCAACTTTTACTCGAAAAATAGTAAAATTGACTATTTCTGTAGTAAATTTTACTGTTTCCGTAGTAATTTTTACTATTTCTGAAGTAAATTTTACTATTTTTGGAGTAAAAGTTGCCAGAGATGCGCAGAAACTTCGGACAGGTCCAATTTTACTTTTAAAGTAGTAAAAGTTACTTTTTCTTTTTTTCCGTGTGCGTATGAAGCGAATATGCACTACAGGTATTGAAATCTAAGATACATGTATATTAAATTTAAAGTGACAACATGGCGGCTGTAGATGCCTATTTCACCAAACGGTCATTATTTCCTTGATATTGAAAATTTATTTGAAATTGAAACAACAGTGCGTAATTCTTTAACTATTGTGTTGTTTATGTCCAAATAATGTTTTATAAGGGGAAAATTTTTCAAAAAAAACATTCTAAATACAAGAATTTTAATACTTATATGTGACATTTAGGTTAAGTACTATAAATGTCAAATTATATGCATTTTTACAATGTAAATTGATTTAAACTTGTATTTACATGAAAGAAATTACTTTGCTTTATTAATAAAAACCTTATTTTGTACACAAGAACATGTATAAATTGAGTAAAATGCAATTTTTTTATTTGAATTTTTTTCAGTGACAAAATTTAATATACTTTGTATATGAATTACACTCTAATATACCAGTTTCTTAAATTTAAGTACTTTATGTATATTAAAACTACAAACATTTTTAACAGTGTATACAATAAATTTCCATTAAGTACTAAAGGATTTTAATTAATAAAAAATTAACATAATTTACATACACAAAAAAAGTTATAACTACTGTACGGTTTTATTAATTATAGATATTTTATGTATTATATTCTACAATTTGAATCACATATTATTATTAACGTCTAATACAATCCTTTTTAATATTTTTATTACTAAAATTTTGTAATTTAACATGATAATATTAAATAAATTTAAAAATTTAATTATGTTTATTATATTTTATAAATACAATTATGCCATATGAATTTCATGTCAAATGTGAATTATGTCAAATGAAATTTATGTCATATGAAATTTATGTCAAATTAATTTTTCGTCAAATGATTTGATATCAAGTGAGATTTATGTCAAACGAAATTTATTGGGGTTTAATCATGCGAGTCGTTAAATCACCCATCTTCAAAGTCGAGAAGTTCCAAAGAAAAACGTGTTGCAATCTAACAATATTGTATCTTTCATAAGTGGGTCTAATTTAAAATTTTGAAATGTACTTCATGAATTGAAATTCATTATACAAATATTTTAAAAAGTAATGGAATACAAAAATGAAAAATCAAGACCAAATGCTTTTAAATATAAAATATTGCAAACAATTTCAATATTTATTTAAAAACAAAGTTTCTTAAAAAAATGTTTGCCATGTAACTATAATAATTGTAAGAACTCAATGTAAAAACGTGCTCATTCCAACTTTTGATAAAATAAACGAAAGATATTAAATTTTTTAGTACTGAAAAATACGTTCTTTATCAAAGAAAACAAATTTAAAATAACAAAAAAAGAAAATTTCACATAAAAAGGAGTGATTAACTCTACATTTCAAAATAATTATCAGTTATTAAAAAAGAACAGTATTATTCTTGACGAAAATAGTAAACTTATTTTAACACTCAACAACGAAGCATTGCAAGTTTTTACACAGGTTAATGTTATGAATTAATAATTTATCATCATTAAATTAAAATTTTTTTTTAAAAATAAATTATTATTGCATTTACAATAGAATATAAATTTACAATTTTTTATAAGAATTAATTGAATAAAATAATCCAAAAAGAACCGTACAAAAATTTGTCATTTATATCTTAGACAAAATGGGTCGGTGTCTAGCTATAATTCTCCCAGCTGTTTTTGTTTCATTTTTGATAGAGAATTCCATATCTTTACCAATTTATGGACTTCTGAATCCGGTAAGTTTTTATTTATATCACAAAAAAAAACTGAATTCATTATTGTCTTTCATTGTGAGTTTATTATTTGTAATTAAATTTAATTGATAGCAAACTTCACTTGGTTTACACGGTTTATTTAGAATTTGTATATAGCAAAACCTAAAATTTATAAAATACTAGCGTCATATCCTCTCTCGCTAACGCTCGCTCGGTTGAAATTGTACTCATTATTATTTACTTATTTCAGTTCATTCATATGTATTTACTCTATTTTTTAAATTAATATTATAATAAATTTATTATTAATTTTAAGTTTTATATTTTTAAGAAATCTTTAATACTTTTCATAAATAAATAATCTATTTTTATCAATATAATGATTTGTGTTTTGTTCTACCTTAGTTTTTTTTATGACTATAAAACGGTTGAAATATAACAAATTTTAAAAATTTTATTTCCTATTACAATTTCGATGAAAGTTCAAAATGAAAATAGACATAAAATATGAACTACTTTTACAGAGGAAAGAAATATATTAAAAAGAAGTTATAATGCAATTCGCATGGGATATCAAGTACCTCGAATATCGCAAAATCGAAATTATTAGATATCAAAAATATAAATTTAATTAACGATAACTTTAAAAAAAATAAATATTTTTTGATGAGATTTGAAATTGGGATGCATTTTACATGTGAATTACTGAAAAATAACAAAAAGTTGCAAAATTTGCAAAAAAATATTTTTTGCAAAAAGTTGCAAAAAAAAAAATTCAGATTTTTTTCTAATTCATATGTTTAATTTATGTTTAAATTCTAATTTTGAATCATATCTGAACAAAAATTGTTGAAAAAGAATGTGAAAAACGAAAATTCTTGGCCCAGTAATGTCACGAAGACGACAAAACAAACATTTTAATATAATAGAAGATTTGTGAAAAATTTTGAAATAACGATAACTTTAAAAAAAATAAATATTTTTTGATGAGATTTGAAATTGGGATGCATTTTACATGTGAATTACTGAAAAATAACAAAAAGTTGCAAAAAAATATTTTTTGCAAAAAGTTGCAAAAAAAAAAATTCAGATTTTTTTCTAATTCATATGTTTAATTTATGTTTAAATTCTAATTTTGAATCATATCTGAACAAAAATTGTTGAAAAAGAATGTGAAAAACGAAAATTCTTGGCCCAGTGACGTCACGAAGACGACAAAACAAACATTTTAATATAATAGAAGATTTGTGAAAAATTTTGAAATAACGATAACTTTAAAAAAAAAAAAAATTTTTTATGAGATTTGAAATTGGGATGCATTTTACATGTGAATTACTGAAAAATAACAAAAAGTTGCAAAATTTGCAAAAAAATATTTTTTGCAAAAAGTTGCAAAAAAAAAAAATTCAGATTTTTTTCTAATTCATATGTTTAATTTATGTTTAAATTCTAATTTTGAATCATATCTGAACAAAAATTGTTGAAAAAGAATGTGAAAAACGAAAATTCTTGGCCCAGTAATGTCACGAAGACGACAAAACAAACATTTTAATATAATAGAAGATTTGTGAAAAATTTTGAAATAACGATAACTTTAAAAAAAATAAATATTTTTTGATGAGATTTGAAATTGGGATGCATTTTACATGTGAATTACTGAAAAATAACAAAAAGTTGCAAAATTTGCAAAAAAATATTTTTTGCAAAAAGTTGCAAAAAAAAAAAATTCAGATTTTTTTCTAATTCATATGTTTAATTTATGTTTAAATTCTAATTTTGAATCATATCGGAACAAAAATTGTTGAAAAAGAATGTGAAAAACGAAAATTCTTGGCCCAGTGACGTCACAAAGACGACAAAACAAACATTTTAATATAATAGAAGATTTGTGAAAAATTTTGAAATAACGATAACTTTAAAAAAAATAAATATTTTTTGATGAGATTTGAAATTGGGATGCATTTTACATGTGAATTACTGAAAAATAACAAAAAGTTGCAAAATTTGCAAAAAATTATTTTTTGCAAAAAGTTGCAAAAAAAAAAAATTCAGATTTTTTTCTAATTCATATGTTTAATTTATGTTTAAATTCTAATTTTGAATCATATCTGAACAAAAATTGTTGAAAAAGAATGTGAAAAACGAAAATTCTTGGCCCAGTGACGTCACGAAGACGACAAAACAAACATTTTAATATAATAGAAGATTTGTGAAAAATTTTGAAATAACGATAACTTTAAAAAAAATAAATATTTTTTGATGAGATTTGAAATTGGGATGCATTTTACATGTGAATTACTGAAAAATAACAAAAAGTTGCAAAAAAATATTTTTTGCAAAAAGTTGCAAAAAAAAAAATTCAGATTTTTTTCTAATTCATATGTTTAATTTATGTTTAAATTCTAATTTTGAATCATATCTGAACAAAAATTGTTGAAAAAGAATGTGAAAAACGAAAATTCTTGGCCCAGTGACGTCACGAAGACGACAAAACAAACATTTTAATATAATAGAAGATTTGTGAAAAATTTTGAAATAACGATAACTTTAAAAAAAAAAAAAATTTTTTGATGAGATTTGAAATTGGGATGCATTTTACATGTGAATTACTGAAAAATAACAAAAAGTTGCAAAATTTGCAAAAAAATATTTTTTGCAAAAAGTTGCAAAAAAAAAAAATTCAGATTTTTTTCTAATTCATATGTTTAATTTATGTTTAAATTCTAATTTTGAATCATATCTGAACAAAAATTGTTGAAAAAGAATGTGAAAAACGAAAATTCTTGGCCCAGTAATGTCACGAAGACGACAAAACAAACATTTTAATATAATAGAAGATTTGTGAAAAATTTTGAAATAACGATAACTTTAAAAAAAATAAATATTTTTTGATGAGATTTGAAATTGGGATGCATTTTACATGTGAATTACTGAAAAATAACAAAAAGTTGCAAAAAAATATTTTTTGCAAAAAGTTGCAAAAAAAAAAATTCAGATTTTTTTCTAATTCATATGTTTAATTTATGTTTAAATTCTAATTTTGAATCATATCTGAACAAAAATTGTTGAAAAAGAATGTGAAAAACGAAAATTCTTGGCCCAGTGACGTCACGAAGACGACAAAACAAACATTTTAATATAATAGAAGATTTGTGAAAAATTTTGAAATAACGATAACTTTAAAAAAAATAAATATTTTTTGATGAGATTTGAAATTGGGATGCATTTTACATGTGAATTACTGAAAAATAACAAAAAGTTGCAAAATTTGCAAAAAAATATTTTTTGCAAAAAGTTGCAAAAAAAAAAAATTCAGATTTTTTTCTAATTCATATGTTTAATTTATGTTTAAATTCTAATTTTGAATCATATCGGAACAAAAATTGTTGAAAAAGAATGTGAAAAACGAAAATTCTTGGCCCAGTGACGTCACGAAGACGACAAAACAAACATTTTAATATAATAGAAGATTTGTGAAAAATTTTGAAATAACGATAACTTTAAAAAAAATAAATATTTTTTGATGAGATTTGAAATTGGGATGCATTTTACATGTGAATTACTGAAAAATAACAAAAAGTTGCAAAATTTGCAAAAAAATATTTTTTGCAAAAAGTTGCAAAAAAAAAAAATTCAGATTTTTTTCTAATTCATATGTTTAATTTATGTTTAAATTCTAATTTTGAATCATATCTGAACAAAAATTGTTGAAAAAGAATGTGAAAAACGAAAATTCTTGGCCCAGTGACGTCACGAAGACGACAAAACAAACATTTTAATATAATAGAAGATTACAAATTTCTCTGTATTAATATAATTCTTTTTATTAAATATAATTAATTTATTTACAATATGCTTTTAAATTTCGCGCCATTATCAATGGTTTTGGTTTACATAGTTGGTATTGGCGATTCAAACAGCTACACTAGCGCCACAGTTGAACTAACTTAAGCGTGACTTGCTCTGTAGCACTCCATGTGTTTTAAATTATTTTTTTTTATTTAACGCTTAAGGTAAATGCCCTAGTTACCGTCACCTTTGCTTCAGTAATCGTCACATAAGTAATTTGAGAATTTTAAGCAATGTATTGAAAAAATTATTATTATAATTTATTATTTGTATAAAAATAATTATTTTAAATCGAAAAAACATAATCTTTATTTGTTTTAGAAAATATTTTTTGTAATTTTCAATGAAAGTGACGGTAACTAAGACAGTGACGAAGACTGGGGCATTTACCTTAAAAATTATTTTACAAACGCAATAAAAATATCAGAATAATTAAATAATTTGAAATAAACTGTCAAAACAGAGACTGCTTTAGAGCGAGTCACGCTTACGTTAGTTCAACTGTGGCGCTAGTGTAGCTGTTTGAATCGCCAATAATACTTCTACTTGTAAAATTAGCAGCTTTTTTATAACATAAAAATTTTGTTATTTAATTTCATGAACTGTCGTAAATTATCATTGAAAAGTTAATTTTATTTAATTAATATACTCATGAAAAATAATTTTTTTTTGAGTTTTATACACGTAATTATTCACTTTTCCACGATTATTTGAACATTATTCTTGAATTGAAAATAAATAGTTACTTTTAAATCGTTTTATCTAAAAGAAAGAATCAGATTTTATTAAATTATTACAAAACTTACTAAATTCAGCAAAAAAAAATATAATAATAATAATAATAATTTGAAAAATTTTATTTCATTGCATTTAGGTGCAGACAATCGTTGACCCTATTAATAATTCAACAACAAAGATGGTAATACAAAAACAGAAAATATAATATAATTATTTAATTAAGTGTGCTAAGCTGTATACATTATGAAAAAGAAGCGCATGAATTTTCCATCAAAATAAATGATTAGAATTTTCATTTAAAAAAATTTTTTTTTAATTATAATATTTTTTAAAATATTTATTTAATTTTCAATTTAATTAAATTTTATTTAATATTTTTTAAAATATAATATATTCTGACAAATGCTAATTTGAAAAATAAAAATTTGTCAAAAAAAAATGATTATTATAATTTTTATTTTCAGTGGGTAGATGTAACGAAGTTGACTGATACTGAATTTATAAACACGGTAGGCAATGAAAAATAACTTTTATTCTTTGGTTTCTATTATAATAGAAAATAAAAAAAAACATTTCTTAGGTTTTATAATAAAGATATTTTTATATTCATTTCCTGATTTTTTAAAATAATAATTTGCAATATATATTATACTTAATAAAAAATAAAAACTCTTGGTGTTTTCGATTTTATATATAATAAAATATTAATCAGTTAGTTGACTAATTTAATTAATATTTAATTTGTGTTGGGTTACTAAAAATTTCACACACTTTTTCCTAAAAAAAAGTATTACCTGGAGTAGAGATTTCACTATTGCAGTGAAACTTATCTCTGTTACAGTTAAAGCTTTCTTTTCGTATACAATAAATTAAAAAACTGCCAGTACTCGGCCAGTACTGAACCAGTAGTGGTTACCAGTACTGGTGCCAACTCTGGCAGCCAGTACTGGTAAAATGTTATCATCCCAAAGTTACGCCAACTCTGGCGCCAATACTGGGTTCCAGTACTGCGCCATTAGTAAATTTTTGATTGGGTTTATACATTTTTACGTATTTTTTTACAAAAAAAAATATAGCGAGAACGATTGGAGTTGATTATCATAGCGTTTTCAAGGAAAAACTGATAATTTTCGATCTATGAGTCTATCTACGTGTTTTTCATGCTCACATTACAGGAAAAATTAAGCAAAATTTGAATTTTTCCATCGGCCTTCACACTTTAAGCCCCTCAAATTTTAGGCTTAATAGTACAGAACCCTCGGTTTTAATGCGAGTGTAACTCGCACTTGTCCGATTTTTCACTTCAAATATGTGTCATTTAAAAATAAATTATTGAATTTTTTTTCTCTTGTTTTGATTGATCGCAATATTGCCCTACAACGGAAGAACACACATAAGCCACATTGTCGCTTTGGTCGAGTTCTGTATATAAACACTGCAGAAGAGCGACTGAAGCGACAATGTGGCTTATGTGTTTTCTTTCGTTGTAGGGCAGAATAAATATGTCATTATTATAATGTAGAAAAAAATACAAATGTTTTTATATCGAAAAATAATAATTTTTGTAGGTAATATTCATGTTTTTTTTTCTTTTTAGACAAAAACACTAACTACATATTATAGTGATAATAAGACAATTGATAAGGTAAAAAATAATAATTTTTTCCTATTACACTAGAGCCTCGATTTAATGATAAGTTCGGTTCTTTGTCACTAAATGAAGGTCGATGTCAAAATGGTAAACTCGCTTTCTCATTGGTGCAAGCTTATACTTCGCCGGACAAGATGGTGGAATTTCTCAGTAATGTCATTAAATGCTCATATTAAGTGTCACTAAATCCATAGGCTCTAGGGTAATTTTATTAGACCATTCTTATGTATTTATTTAATAAAAAAAAAATAGAAAAAAAATTATTTTATTTTATTTTATTTTTAGACAGTAAAAATTCATTTGCTACCTAATAGTCAACAAATTGAGGAGGTAAGAAATATAATTTTATGAAAAAATTATAGTAAATTATATTTCTATAATTTTTTGCGCCTCATTTTCGATAAGTTCACCTAAAAACACACAAATAAAAAAAAATGTTTTTAAATTGATGTATTTTTAAGAAAGTTATGAACATTAAAAAAAAATCGATAAAATTTTGAAATTTTGTAAAGTTCACTTCCCGTAAACGGCTTGGAAAAAAAATTGAAAAAAATCATAGAAGCTAGTCTCAATTAGGGAAAGGTTGGGTAACGGAAGAGTTAGGGTAATGGGAGCTTTTAAATTTTAAGTACTTAGAGACTTTGAATTACGCAATGGTAACTCCAAACTATAACCCCAAAATATTTCATGTTTACTGCACTGCAATCCTTCTGCCATTAAAGGACATACGTAGTCACATTCGGTAGTGATAATGGAGATAACAAAAATAAATCTAACATCAGCAATAATTCTCAGAACAATAATTTGTTAGGCGCTAATGAGTCAGTCAACATCACCTTCAGCAAAAATTCATTAAAAGACCAAAAATCATCATCATCAACATAATCGATTCAAAAATCATAAAATAACTCCATTACAATATTCTTTCAATGAGAAAAATACATTGTTGGCTCACCTGAATATATTTTCTTCTTTTCACACAAAACATAAATATCTATTTAATTAATTTAATTATTTAATTTAATTTTATCTCAAATATTTGAATATTCCACAATTTTACAATATTTCCACCACGCTACTTTCGACGGTGGTAAAGAAATTGAGGAATTGAATAATGAATTTTCGTAAAAACGCCGATGACCACGAGAAAAACTTGCCTAACCTTACCATATATTATTGCGCGCGGGCGAACAAAGGCGACGGTAGCGCCACGGCGCGAAACCCATTTAATTTTGAATAATTTACATCATACAAAAAAATCAAAGTCACACAAAATAAATCTTTCATTATCGTAATAATAGCTATATTTTCTTTACTTTATTTTAAATCTGTGTGACGTGTCAAAATGTCACGTCACAGCGTATTTAATTGCTAAGAATCCATATTTATGTTTTATTGTCTAAAATGTGTTATTATTAAATATTTTAATACTAAAGAAGCTGTAAGTCTTTTTTATGTCTTAAATATTTTGTAAAATGTTTATCTGTCGAGAATAAATTAAAAAAATAAAAAAAATAGAAATTATATAATTTTATTAGAATTTTAAGTAAGGGCTCCCAAAACCCTACGGGTGGGGTAATGGGAGAAAATTCATTTCTTTAGAAAACATTCTTTTTGCAAAACATTTTTTCTTAATTTATAATTAATTATAATTAAAGATAAACAACAAAAGAAGTAAAAAATGAACAAAACAATATTTTATTATAAGAATAAGTTGGTTTTTTAAATCATTTTCCTTAAGGGGCTCTAATTCCTCCACCTTCCTCGAGTACTAAAGAAAAAATTTCAAAAAAGTCCGAGATATAAATGCAAAATAATGTCTGATTTGTCATAGAATACCTCATGTATATCCAGATAATCAGCGTAATAAAACAACAAATTTAATTAACATAATTTTTTCTTTTTGCTTTTAGAAAATGCAGATAATTACATGGAATGATAATTGCACATTTAACCAGGCAAAGTTAAATAATTAAAAAAGACAATTATTGATAACTTGTTATTAAATACATAATTTAAATTTCTTTAATTTTAGACCGAAATAGTTACTAAATTGTTGAATGGTTCAAAAATACTTAACGAGGTACAAACATATATAATTCTTTTTATCTTGTGTAAAAATCTATTAACTATTGATTTTATTGTTGTTTTATTACTTTAAAATTTTTTAAATATGTAAAGTATAATTTCATTATTTTTTTTTTAGTATCATGAAGAATTCAAAGATGTTGATAAAGTCCATACTTTAAAAGCTGAAAAGGTAAAACAAAAAAGAAGTGACTTCTTACTATAAAATATAGGGTAAATGTTGTAATTATAATAAGGATTGAAATCCAAAGACGAATTTTGAAGTTAAAAATTTTTGTTCTCAGCAAGAAGAAAAAGATGTTAAAGAAGAGGAAGAAGCAGATGATGTTGATGATGATAATAGATATAAAGCAGAAACATCTATAGCTCCTATTGAATTTTCAGTCAAAAGTGATTAATAATAAATTTCCATTAAGTACTGAAGGATTTCAAATATGTAATCAAAAAATTAACATTCATTAAAAATATTAAGAAATGAGTCATTTTTCATTAAAAAAGCATTATCTATCTTTGTCTCACGTGTGTAGGAATAGAAAAGATGAAACTATTTTTATGACAAATGTTAAATGAATATATCAAATCAGTTCTATATGTCAACACAGAAAAAACCTAGTCTCATTTTTGTTGTAAGTCAAAATGAGCCAATGCTAAACGACATAGACAGTGGCGCCACCAACCTGGCTCATTTTTGGTGCACTTTAAAATGAGTAGCGTAAGTTACTCATTTTAAGACCAAGTTTTTCTGTGAAATGAATTTTATATTAAATGAAATTACGCCATATGAATTTCATGTCAAATGTAAATTATGTCAAGTGAAATTTATGTCATATGAGATTTATGTCAAATTAATTTTTCGTCAAATGATTTGATATCAAGTGAGATTTATGTCAAATAAAATTTATTGGGGTTTAATCATGCGAGTCGTTAAATCACCCATCTTCAAAGTCGAGAAGTTCCAAAGAAAAACGTGTTGCAATCTAACAATATTGTATCTTTCATAAGTGGGTCTAATTTAAAATTTTGAAATGTACTTCATAAATTGAAATTCATTATACAAATATTTTAAAAAGTAATGGAATACAAAAATGAAAAATCAAGACCAAATGCTTTTAAATATAAAATATTGCAAACAATTTCAATATTTAGTTAAAAACAAAGTTTTTTAAAAAAATGTTTGCCATGTAACTATAATAATTGTAAGAACTCAATGTAAAAACGTGCTCATTCCAACTTTTGATAAAATAAATGAAAGATATCTTAAATTATTTAGTATTGAAAAATATGTTCATTATCAAAGAAAAAAAATTTTAAATAATAAAAAAAAAATTTTCACATTAAAAGAAAGACTAAAATTATTATCAGTTAATGAAAAGAACAGTATTATTCTTGACGAGTATAGTAAACTTATTTTAACACTCAACGACGAAGCATATTGAATAATTTTACGCAGGTTAATTTTATGTTCAAATATATTAAAATTGAAAATTTTTTTAATAACAATAATTTAATTATTTTGTTTGCCAAAATATATCAGATTTATTCTTATTGCACTTATAATACAGTGTAAATTTGCAATTTTTTTATAAGAAATAATTTAAACAAATAAACTAAAAATGAACCATAAAAAAATTTGTCATTTAATTTTTTAGACAAAATGGGTCGGTGTATAGCTATAATTCTCCTAGCTATTTTTGTTTCATTTTTGATAGAAAATTTCATATTTTTACTGTAGTAACTAGCGATGTATCCTCGCTCGTGAGAATTTTTATTATCAATTATTAACCTAACTAGCTAAAAGAAACGCGCGTAAACGCGCGAGATATCTGCAATTTTTTATGAAAAATTAAAAATTTATTTTTATTTGACGGACACTTTTTGGAATTTTGATCTCACAAAAATAATAATATTATTTTTGTAATCGTTACTGTATTACTATTTCAACATTATGGTGTTATAATAATATAATACCTATTATTGTCCAGTCAATATGACCTTTAAATTTTGTACTCAAATAAAGATTATACAATGCTACGATCGTCGAATTGTCAGCAATACATTTAAATGACGCATCTCAGGATCCATGCAGGGTGAATTCCTATTTTGTTTACCACAAGGCCCATGAACTTAAAATCGCTTTACAATGTTAGAAAGTTCTGGATTCTTTATTTCGTCTGTGATTTCAGCACATATCATTTTATTTAAAGTTTCTGAATCGCAAATTTGTGTACGTAAACAAATAGTTAAACGCACATGTGTCAATCCACGCTTTTTTCTTCTCTATGAAAGACGATACATATAAAATTGTAAATGAATAAAATTACAAGTACCTTGAGTATGCTTAAGGTTAACAGTCCATCCAGGATCACCATAAGGAAACATTGTAGGATATGTTATAGGATCAAAATTTTCCCTAACAATAAGACTAGAAATTATTTTCTTATTATTTTCTGTTGTGCATACTGAATTTACATCAACATGTAAATCCCTCTTCAATTTCTGTAGATAATTTCTTCATCTTACAGGACAAACTTTTTTCTTTGGGTATTTTCTTTTCATTCTCAGTTTCAGTAGACAGAACTCTGTTGTCATTTTTACTGGGAAAAGTCTTTAAAAAATATGAAAGGTTTAGTTCACCATTTTGAACTTCTTTAGCTCGATTTATGAAAAGACAATTCCAATCATTCTCTACAAATCGAAATCCTAATATTAGACATTCTAACTGCCGGAAAATTATTTAATTAATTGTTTTCAAAAAATGATATCAAATGCTTGCTCATTATATTATTATCAGTTTCATAAATTAATCTTTTAATTTACACTGTTAACCAATACAGATGTTGCAAATGCTATTGCATTATACTTTACACTTAACTGTACCAATCGGTTGTTGATCAACATCTACAAAAAATTCTGTTGGTTTAAAAGGGAACAATCTAATTAAATATTCTATTTGGTGAATATTCAAACACCCTGCATTAAGGCTATCAAAAATATAAAGTCTTACTCCATCGTAATAAACACAAATCCAATGACCAGAATTGTTATTACCGCTAAAAACTATTTGAATATGTTTAACTCTTTCTCTAATTGGAACAATTAAATCAAGCATTTGTAAATACAAAGTACTTTGCATAATGAAAAAAGAATTTGAATCATTTTTTGATAATTCTTGAAATTTATACATGTGCATATCATTTAACATTTCATTTACATTTTCAATAATTTTAAAATCTTCATTACTTAAAATAAAATACTCTTCTATCTTCGACATGGTATCCTTCTTCAACTTTTAAACTGTTGATAAAGCCAATTTTCAAAACAAATCGTTTATTTTAGTTTATTGCTTTAAAAAATTTACTTACATGTGTTTCACCTATAAAATATTGCATTAACTATAATTCAGCTAACTAATGCAACAATGATAGTCTTTTATGAACGTGAATTAGCGTTGTTTAATCTTTTTCCACATTACATCATTTTCGATAATGATTATTATTGAACTTATTTTCCTCTGCACTTTTTATTAATATTCAAATCAATATTCAACTCACAAACTATTATTTAACCCATAAAACAACTTTAACCCTTAAAACAATATTCAAACCTCTTTCTATCTATTTAAATACTTTTCCAAAAGCCAGCATCCTCTATTCTCAAACAGTCAATATTTTTTTCAATATCGAAATATATTCAATGCCAATGTTATCCAATATCATATTTTATTATCCTCAAAATCCAAATATCTTTAATGCCAAAATTACCCAATACCAAAAAATTTTTCCAAAAGACAGCTTCCACTATTATAAAACAATCAATATTTTTGTTGCATTATTAAAATATATTCAATACTAATGTTATCCAATATCTTTCTTTATCCTCAAAATCGTAATATCTTTAATGCCAATGTTATTTAATACCAAAAAAACTAAATGGATTGAAGTATTTTTTATATGAAACATTTAAGACAGCCAAAAGAAACAAATATCATGCAATATCCATATATATCTTCAAAATACATATATAATTATTAATACTATACAAAAATAGGAATATATTTTTTGGGCCCAATACAAAAATGAAAAAGACAAATATAATATAAGAACATTCAACACCTGCAGTAAGTTATTGATCGACAAATTGCAGAAAAATATTATAAACTTTATAATAATCAAGTTAAGTTACCTGAGACTATTAGAATCTTTTTTTAGCAACACTACTACAATGTTGTTGAAACGGTAGTCGGTTGCTCTATGTTTATCTTACATCAGCAGTAGCCGTTTCACTCCATTGAGGAGAAGTGTTATACCCCCACTCTACCAATCTGGGCCTATATTAAGTTCTCGCGAGTGGCAGATATTACGGTAGGCCTGAGTGGCGTCCTCGGGGATAGGTGTTGGTAAGTTAAGTATGAATACACCACTTCCACTCACTGGGATTAAACGGTTATCATCTATATCGCATATACAATAATAAAAAAATTTCCCTCAACCCAAGACTGTTAGGACGAATCGAGCGCTCACGGATTGGGTCCTGAAAAGGGAAGTGGTATATCCTCACTCTATCGGCCTGTCCCGGGCTCAGACCTCGAGTAAGTCAATTACAGCGGGGGCCTGTATGACGTTCTCGGGCTTAATGACAATATTATTTTATGACGCTTAATGAGTTTTTCAAAAAAATTATAAAATTTTTAAATATAAACACTGTTTAATTTATTTTGACATATTCGTTTTCCTCAGAAGTTCACGATTACGATCATATATTGCTCCAATAATAACACAGGCACAAAAAAAAATTCAGGTCCCAAAAAACACAACCCCATATTCCTATGTTTTTGGGGTCGCTGAAACCGAATATGACCATGAACAATTTTTTTGACGACCCATTTTCCCGCAACCACCCCTTGCACCTACTCACGGGGGTTGGAGTTTCAAATTAAAAAAAAATTGAGTATGGTGTCTATTCCAATGTTTTTTGGGTCGCTTCATCCCAAAAACACCATTGAAAACAAATCCTTTCTTTCCTTAACCCCGTACAACCCTCTGGGAGGGGGTTAAAATTTTAAATTTCACAAAAAGTCAAGTTCGGTGTCTAATCCTACGTTTCTTGGGGCGCTGAAATCAAAAAACACCACCAAAAACAAATTCTTTACCCCCTTAACCCGCTAGAACCCCTGGGAGGGGGTTGAAATATTATTTTTCACGGCGCTAAGTGTAGAAAAATAAATTTCCTTAAGACATTATAGGTGCGTATTTGTGTAATCATAGGTAACTTTCTAGAAAACTTTATTGTTGGTGATGTTTTTTGGTTTCAGCGACCCAAAAAACATAAGATTAGACACCGTACTCGACTTTTCGTGAAAAATGAAATTCCAACCCCCTCCAGGGGTTGTAGGGGGTTAAAAGGGTAAAGAATGTGTTTTTGTTGGTGTTTTTTGATTTCAACGACCAAAAAAACATAGGAATAGATACCGTACTCGACCTTTGTAAAAATTGAAATTCCAACCCCTTCTCAGGGGGTTGTAGGGGGTTAAGGGAGGAAATGACTTGTTTTTGGTGGCGTTTTTCGGTTTCAGCGCCCCAAAAAACATAGGATTAAACACCGTACTCGAATTTTCGTGAACAATGAAATTCCAACCCCCTCCCAGGGGTTGTAGGGGGTTAAGGATTTGTTTTTAGTGGTATTTTTCGGATTAAGCGACCCAAAAAACATTGGAATTGACACACTACTCGATTTTTTTTTTTTGAAACTCCAACCCCCGTGAGTAGGTGCAAGGGGGTAGTTGCGGGAAAACGGGTCGTCAAAAAAAATTTTCTTAGGCAGACGATTTTATTGCATATTCAAGCACAGAATACACTGAAAAGTGTAGAAAAAAATTGACACCCTGCTCCCAGTAGAGGAAGACCCTTTTTATGACCAAATACGCATCCAAAAGCATAAAATCTTTCCAAAAAAATTCAATTTTTCTTAGGCATACGATTTTATTGCATATTCTTGCACAGAATACACCGAAAAGTGTAGAAAAAAAATTGACACCCAGATCCGGGTAGAGGAAGACCCTTTTTATGACCAAAAACGCATCCAAAAGCATAAAAAACATACGAAAAAAATTCAATTTTTCTTAGGCAGACGATTTTATTGCATATTCTTGCACAAAATACACCGAAAAGTGTAGAAAGAAATTGACATCCAGATCCGACTTTAACTTTAACATTGTTTAAACATTGTTTAAACATTGTTTAAAAAACGTTTTAAACGCAAAATTTTGAATTTTCCGCACATAACAGACAGAGTCTATGTTATTCTGAACATTTTCCAAAAGGTTTTTTTAAAAAATATTCAAAATTGTGCTTTTCACATACCTGAGAAGTTTGCGTGTCATGCGCCATGATTTGTGACGTCACGAAGGTTCAAATGCTCTTAAATATCAAATATTGCAAAACATTTTAATATTAATTTAAAAACAAAGGTTCTTGAAAAAAATTTCTGCGATTATAAGAATAATAATAAATTGTAAGTGCGGAATGTGAAAACGTGCTCATTCATACTTTCGATAAAATAAACGGAGTATCTTCGATTATTATTAAATATATGTTTTATTTAAAAGCAAAACTTTAAAGTCACGAATAAGAAAATTTGACATAAACAGATTAATTAACTCTACATTCCAAAACGATTGTCAGTTAATAAAAAGAAAAGTTTTAGGTTTTACGAGTATCAAACTTATTTCAACACTCAACGAAGAAGCATTGAATAATTTAACGCAGGTCAATTTTATTTTCAAATATTTTAAGATTAAACAATTTTTTAATTTAATAATTTAATTTTTTCGTCTGCTAACATATAATATTAAATTCATCAAAATTGTTAATATTTATATTATAAATTTTGGATTAACGAAAGCTTTCATATTATAGTTATTGTTTAATATAAATATATTATTAGGTAATAAATTGGAAATGATTTTCAAAATGTTTAATTATTTTTAAATCTTTATTTTTTTATTGTCTAATTAATTAATCAATAATTTATTATTATTAAATTTAAAATTTTATTTTTTATAAATAAATTATTATTGCATTTACAAAATATCTAATATAAATTTTCAAATATTTGTTATAATAATTAATTCAATAAAAATGATATAAAACTAAATCATAAAAAAATTTGTCATTTATTTTTCAGACAATATGGGTCGGTGTCTAGCTACAATTCTTCTAGCTATTTTTGTTCCATTTTTTATAGAGAATTCTATATCTTTACCAATTGATGAACATCCATTGGTAAGTTCTATTCTATTATTTCTCAAAAAAAAACTTAAATTCATTTTTGTTTTCAAATTGAGTTGATAGCAAACTTCACTTGCTTGGTTTATTTCAAATTTGCATATAGCAAAACCTAAAATTTATAAAATATTAATATGTGACCTGGAGTGGGATTACAACTAGCGACAGCGTTACGAAGATTTCGCTACGTAGCGATTCAAAGCTACATTCACATTAAAAAATTTTCTAGCTATCGGGTGACTTAAAAAAATGGTATCATTTTGATAGATTTAGGTTGGTACAATTGTTTTTCTGTGTATTTTTTATCTCATATTTGCTTTATTTTATAATTTAACAATTTTTTTTATAATCAAGAATGTATCAAATTCATAAGGATTTCCCACGATGAAGAAATGAAGCAATTAAAAGAAGTATCTAAAAAGCTGACAAATTTTTCAAATCTCAAAAGTTATAAAAAGGCAATTCGAGGCAATGATAATTATTAATATTATTATATATTAACACTTTTATATCCAATTTCTATCCTTACAAAAAATCAAGAAAATAATTCAACTTTATCCAATAATAATAAACTATTTACTTTTCTTTTTGATATTAATAATTAAATATTTATTGCATTTATATTTATTATTTTTTTTCATAGGATTAAAAGTTTCTATTAGACATTGTCTAAAATGGGAAAAAAATTTAATTAAAAAAATTTTGAATATATAACCTCAGAAATAGAATTTTTGTTCTCACGCAAGGGTTCACTAAAAAAATGTATAGGGCATTTTTTGTGAGTTAAAGAGTTTTTCAAAAAATGAAAATTTAAATTAATTTAATTAAAAAATTAAAAAATAATTAATTTAATTTAAAAAATGTATCAATTTTTAAATTTAGGCTGGTAAAGAATATCCTAATTTTAAATCTCATGCAATTATTATTTTTAATTCTTGCAATAAGATTAATTTTCTTAATTTTTATTTATTAAATTAAATTAAAAAAATTTATTTCCCTTTATAAATTATTTTAACATTAAACTAGATAATTTATTTTTAAAGTTGTTATTTATTAAATTAATAGCTTATTTGCAATATTGAAGTATAATTTATTTCGTCACTAGTTAATTATTTTATTTGAAACTAATAGTTGGCAAACATGAAGTTAGAGAATTGATTCCACCTTCATGTTGTATTTGTTTGCTACGTAGATAAAATATTTTAGGAAATTGACATGAATTCTATGTCAATGTCCTTATTTAGAGGGGTTATGTTTATAGTTTCTTCTAAATTACCATCTTGCAGTTTAAGCTTTGAAGAAACTGTCAACGGTAATTTATTTTGGTCATGATTTGGAACAAATTTCACTAAAAATATGTAAGTTTTTAATTCTAAATAACAAAAAGCGCTACATATAGCGACTAGCGCTATTAGTAATCCCACTGCTCGACAGTTAAAGGGGACCTTTTGTCCGAAATAATCGATTTTTTATTGATTGGTGTTTCTGATAGAGAAAACTTTTTTCTATCAGAATCACCAATCAATAAAAAATTAATTTTTTCGGACAAAAGGTCCCTTTTAACTGTCCAGGTCACATATATGAATTTTGATTGTTTGCCACTATATTAGAATCTAGAAAAAAAAGACAAATGTTTTTAAATAGAAAAATAATAATTCCTGTAGTATTCATATTGTTTTTTTTTGTTTTTAGGCAATATCACAAACTAAATTTGGTGATAATAGAACTGTAAATAATAAGATAAAAAATAATCATTTTTTTCTATCAATTATTTAGACCATTTATATGTATTTATTTAATATAAAAAATAGAAATACAATTTTTTTATCTTAATTTAAGGTGGAAATAATTCGTGTGCTACCTGATGGTACAAAAATTGAGGAGGTAAGATAAATAATTTTCTGTTAAAGTTGGGTATTTTTTTTATAATAAAAATATAGATGAGGTTTTTAATTCTGCTAAAGTAATATTCGGTTAAATAAGAATTTTTTAAATAAAAATTTGGGTAAAGAGAAATTATGTAAAATGAAAATTCTGACAAACAAAAATTTGATATCTAAAAAATCTGTTAAGTAAAAACTTTTTTAAAAAAAAACGAATTCTATCAAATGCTAATTTGAAAAATGAAAATTCGTGAAAAATAATTATATACCTATCTAATAGAATTCTGTAAAATGTAAATTTTAACTAATTTTTTTTTATAGTAGTATGTGCCCTTTATAAAGATATCTTTTATCAAAAAAAAAAAAAAAAAAAGTTAAACAACATATTTTTCTTTGATTAAAAATAATTTTTATTTTCAGTCGATAGATGTGAAGAAGTTTTCTGATGGTGAAATAATAAACACGGTAATGAAAAATAACATTTATTCGTTAGTTTCTATTATACCGTGGATGTACCAGTTACCGTCCATGTCCCAGTTTCCGTCCATTTTACAAATATCTCGTATAGTAATTTAAATTATTTTTTAACAATAATTTATTCCTTTTGGCACGCAATCGACTTATTAGTTTAAGTAAACAAATAAAAGAAAATAATTTTTTTATAAATGTTATTTTGAAAATTAAACTGGACGGAAACTAAGTCTTAGGTGGACGGTAACTGGGACATCCACGGTATAATAGAAAATAAAACTGTATGAAAACATTTCTTGATAATTTTTGTCATTTTTTCATTTGAAATGTTTTTTTTGTTTTTAGACAAAAACACTGACTACACATAATGACAATAGCACAATAACAAAGGTAAAAAAAAATAATAATTTTTTCCCTATTAAAATTTTTTATTAGACCATACTTATATATTTATTTGAGGAGTAAATTTTCAAAATCTGATAAATCCATTTTTCAAAAAAATGGAGATAAACATAAATTTAATATTTTAAGGACCTCACAAATCTTTCTGTCGCTGTTAAATATAAGAAAAAAAATTTCTTAACAACGAATTTTCAATTCAAAAACTTTTGGACATAACCAAGATGTGTTATAATTTTTATGTTTTTTATTAGAAAAAATTACCAATACCTGTAAATCATTAAATTATGATAAAGTTTAATTAAAAGCAGAACTTTTTAAATATAAAAACATTGTTATAGAATTAAACTATTACAAATTTTATATTTTAAAAGTAACTGCAGTGGTTATGTGAGAAAAGTCATTTGTTTCAATTTCTCGAAATAAGAAAATATGGATTTATCACGTTTTGAAAAAATTTGCTCCTCATTTAATATAAAAAAGTAGGAATAAAATTATTTTATTTTTAGGAGGTGAAAATTCATTTGCTACCTAATGGTCAAAAAATTGAGGAGGTAAGAAATATAAATTTATAAAAAAAAGTACAGTAAATTATTTTCTAGAATTTTATGCACCGAATATTCGAAAAGTTCACTTAAAAACACACAATTGAAAAAAAAACTTTTAAAATTGATGCATTTTTTAGGAAGTTATGAGCATTCAAATTGAATTCAAAGTATTCAAAAAATTAAAAAAAAATCATAGAAGCTAACCTCAATTAGTACTAAAAGAAAAAAAAATCGGAGATGTAAATGCAAAATAATGTCTGATTTGGCGTGGAATACATGATGTATATCCAGATAACGAGCGCGTAATAAAACAAAAAATTCAATTAACATAATTTTTTCTTTTTTCTTTCAGAGAATACAGATAATGACATGGAATGATAATAGCACACTTAACCAGGTAAAGCTAAAGAATAAAAAAAAAAAAAAAGAAAATTGATGACTTGTTATTAAATACATAATTTCAATTCCTTAAATTTTAGACCGAAATAACTAATACGTTGTCTGATGGTTCAAGAATACTTAAAGAGGTACAAACATATAATTATTTTTATTTTGTGTTAAAATTTATTAACTATGAATTGATGTCATTGTTATTTTATTATTTCACAGAAAAAAAGGTGGGTAAAAAGTTGTAAAGATAGAGGATAAAGGAGGTTCTACAATAGATGCAAGACCAAGTACAAGTACAAGTGCAAATTTATTGTACTTGGATGCGCGCGCAACGTATTGCCAACTGTCGCTGAGGCGCAGTTGAATATACTGGATTCAATTTTTAATTATAAATTAAATAAATTAAATATAATTGCTGCCATTGCTGGTTGCATTTAATTAAGTGAGGTAAGTAATATTAAAAAAAATAAATAATATTATTTTGAAAATAAAAAAATTGTGGGTTATGTGTACATAACTTATATGCAGTTTTAAAACATTGAAAGTAATTTTACATTTTTCACAGCGTAATAAAATTGTAATTGTTTAATTAATTAATTAATTAATTAAATTAATTAATTGGTTTACATTTTTCACAGCGTAATAAAATTGTAATTGTTTAATTAATTAATTAATTAAACAATTACAATTTTATTACGCTGTAAAAAATGTAAAATTACTTTCAATATTTTAAAACTGCATATAAGTTATGTACACATAACCCACAATTTTTTTATTTTAAAAATAATATTATTTATTTTTTTAAGATTACTTACCTCACTTAATTAAATGCAACCAGCAATGGCAGCAATTATATTAAATTTATAATTAAAAATTAAATCCAGTATTTTCAACTGCGCCTCAGCGACAGTTGGCAATACGTTGCGCGCGCATCCAAGTACAATAAATTTGCACTTGTACTTGTACTTGGACTTGGTCTTGCATCTATTGTAGAACCTCCTTAAAAGACGTTAGGATACAGGGTAAAGGATAAATTTGTGATGGATAAAAATGTTACTAAAATATTACTAGAAAAATGGATGTCACATTTTAGTAAACTGTCTAATTTTAATAAAAATATTAGTAATTTTACACTTAACTTATTAAATCCAAAAATTTTATATAAATAAGTAATTGCACGTTGAAATATTTTTCCTATAATTATTGTCTATTAATAAAAATATCTTTGACTAATACAACTGACAGCTGACGACAGTACGTAAATAATCAGAACTGGGAAATTACAACTCAACGTCTGTATTGTTGCACGAAAGCAGAGTTGGGTAGTAACTGAATTTTTTGTGCATATTAGGCTGTGTCACTTGTGACTTCAGAGTCGATTCTAGGTGTGACGTCAGAAATCTGGAGGGACAACAAACAGACGACACAATGTTATTCTTATGGGGAAGAAAATTTGATTCCACTTTCATCAATTTTATTCATACTTTAAACACGGAAAACGCTTGTTGACATCTAATAAAATTAAAATGTGTGTTGATAATTAATTTTGTTATGTATTTGATTCAATTGCATTGATAGATTCTCTAAATTCGTGATAAAATATAAATTTTGAGGTTAGAAAAGTTTGTTTACTAATCACATTTTACATTTTAACATTATTAAACAATATCCAGTATGCATGTTATTAAAAAAGATATAAAATATATATTTTAAGTGGGAATTACCGCAGCAGTAAAAGATTTCAAATTAGTAAACAAACACCCCTAACCTCAAAATTTATATTTTATCACGAATTTAGAGAATCTATCAATGCAATTGAATCAAATACATAACAAAATTAATTATCAACACACATTTTAATTTTATTAGATGTCAACAAGCGTTTTCCGTGTTTAAAGTATGAATAAAATTGATGAAAGTGGAATCAAATTTTCTTCCCCATAAGAATATTTTTATTAAAATTAGACAGTTTACTCAAATGTGACATCCATTTTTCTAGTAATATTTTAGTAACATTTTTATCCATCACAAATTTATCCTTTACCCTGTATCCTAATGACTTTTATCCTCTATCTTTACAACTTTTTACCCACCTTTTTTTCTGTGATTTTAAATTTTTAAAATAAATTATAATTTCATTATTTTATTTTTAGTATCATGAAGTATACAGATATGGTGGGAAAGTCGATACTTTAAAAGTGATACCAGTCACTGTGTGGAGAGGTGAAAAGTCAAAGGTAGGGGAAAAGGGATACGGGATTGCATACGTCGAGAGGTACAAAATAGGGTTGACTGAGTATTCCGTGAAGTGCACGGATTGCGGAAAGAAAGGGCTGTTGAGCGTTACGGTGAAATCAGGAACTGTTTCACCGTGTTAGGTCCCTTTTATTTCCTCGGGGAGGTAGGCGTCCTGGGCCTAATGGTTCGAGCAAGGGCTAGAACCAAGATGGCGACTGTATCACGAGCGTTGGTCTCTCTTACTCCAATGTGAGTGTGAGAGTAACGTAAGGCTTCCTAGACCTTAAGGTGTGAGCAAGGTCTGGGAAACAAGATGGCGACCGCGTCACTAGCGTGGCTCTCTCTCACTCCAATGGCGGTGAGAGCAAAGGCTAGGAACAAGATGGCGACCGTGTCACTAGCGTGGCTCTCTCTCACTCCAATGGCGGTGAGAGTAAAGGCTAGGAACAAGATGGCGACCGCGTCACTAGCGTGGCTCTCTCTCACTCCAATGGCGGTGAGAGTAAAGGCTAGGAACAAGATGGCGACCGCGTCACTAGCGTAGCTCTCTCTCACTCCAATGGCGGTGAGAGTAACGCAGGGCTTCCTGGGCCTTAAGGTTTGAGCAAAGGCTAGGAACAAGATGGCGACGGCGTAGTCGGGGTGAGTCTCTCTCACTCCCACGCGGGGTGGGGGTAGCGTAAAGGTTTCTTGCGCCTTAAGGTATTCTCAAGGCTAGAAACAAAATGGCGACGGTATGTCAACGGGGGTGGCCACACCTGTCTTGAACGGACCTTGGGTGAAAAATCCGTAAGCGGACGGCCACACCTCGCATGAACAAACCGTGGGATTGTTTTGATTTTGTTTATTTCTTTTTTTTTTAGGTTTTTTTTTGGTTTTGATACTTTATTTTTTGGTAAATAAATAAGTTTTTATTTATAATTACAAAGGTTTATTAATTCTTAGACTAAGTAACGCTGGAATTGATGCTTTATGGTTGGTGGAGATGGGGTCTGTCACAGTGTAGGCTCGGAGTTTCCGGGCAATTTGCGGCGGTGTATTCAAAGAGTGTAATGCCTTTCTCTTTTCCCGGCGGTTTCTTCCCAGACGAGGGTCTTTAGAACCAGCGGCGCTGTGTGTCGGTGGTTTCGCAGCAGGACCCTTCCACAAGGGTATTAGACGCCATTCAAGAGATGAGACGGTGGTGGGGGTTGTTGCGTGTATTGGAGATGGCGCATGTTGGGCAATTTCTTCCACCAGGATGGGACTAGGATGTAATTCCAAGAAATCCTCCACAGAGGTCTCAGTTTCAATTAAAGGTGCCTCGTATATGGCGTCAAAAGCTGCTAGTAAGGTGGCGGTGTCATCGAGGTTTTGGAAGCACGCATCTCTTTGAGCAGGGAAAAGTTGATCCTCAGGCAACGTCTTCTTCGGAGGATTATTGTTATTCTCGTCCACCTTGGTCTGAAAGATGAGGTTGTCTCGAGGGGTTGGTTGGTAGCAGGCCGGTGGCAAGAGGGGCGGCGCTAAATTGGCAGGTTCGTAGTTGGCTGGTGTAGAGTAGGCCAAAGGTCGTGGTACTCGGGGCAATGGCGGGAAAGCGTGTTCGCGCCTAAATTCTCGCACAATGGCCCGTGCGTCCTCCCTGCGTTTACGAGCGCGTTCCTTATCCCGTGCTCGTTTCCTTTCACTCTTCTGGGGTAATGTGGCTGGTTTCATCTATGGACATATACATTATTAATGATGGGCAGAGGGAGTTTCCTGACTAACAGGACGCTCGTTCTGTTCCAACGGGGATTATTCACCGGGGTGCTTCAGGATTTTACTCCCGGCCCGAGAAAAGTTCCCAGCGGCACAGTGTACTCGCGTGTCGTTGCCAAGGAAACCGTTTTCCAAGATGGCCGTCGTCTTTTCACACGGGCGAACCGCGGCAAAGGTTGACGGGCTGAAAGAAAGCAAAAAGTTAGTGACAAAGAAAACTTACTCGCTGTAGCGAGACAGAGAGTAAGCAAAAAGTAACTCGCCTTGGACGTTTAAAGAAAATTCTTTATTTGCAAGGACTTGAAAAGTAAGATCGAGAAGTCATACAACGAGTGCTAGTGTATTACAACTGACGATGGGTGGTCTCGCACCCACGCTTTTATCTCCGCATGAGCGCATCTCGATTGCGGGAGAATTAATACTACAGATATTTTTAAGATAGCGCTCGTAGTGTAAAAATTAAAAACTAAAAGAGTTACAATTTTTATAAAAATACTTACGATAAAAATTATAAGTTTACATTAACAAAATCGACGTTTTAAACAAATATTACGCGGTGACAAGTATCCAGGAAACAGGATGCGTGAGGAAGTGTCTTGGAGAATAGGACGCTTGGGGTCCGTGCATCTTTGTTGGGGGTCGGAAAAGCGGAGAGAAAGGGAAAATGTTCGGATAGGCTATTCGCTCTGAGAAGAACGCCTAGACTATAAAGTAGGAGTTCGTCGGAAGTAAAAAATGGCAGGAAGGATGAGATACTTGTTACAATCGGCGCTATTTCTCTGTAAATTTGTCTTAACCTAATAACTTTAATATAGATTATTAAATATTTATATAGATAATAATATATAAAACAACAAAATATAATTTTATATATATATATATATATATACCAAAAAACACACTACGTACGTTCTTTCACACATGCCATATATATACACATATATATCTATCTTAATTTTCTTATATAAATTATATAAAAATTATTTTATTTTATTTACTTTTTATAATATAAAAAACCACGCGGAAAAGTATGAGGGAAGTTAAAAGACGAAGAAGTGACCGGCGAGAAAGAGAGGCCCACTACGCTAGTAGTGGGGACGCCGAGAGTAACCGTGCGTGGGGGAAAAGAAATGGGCCGCACGGCGGGAGTAAGTAAACGAATGAGAGAAAGCGGAAGGAAGTAGAAAGCGTTTGCTGTGCATTGATTGGAGAAAGGAAGGAAGTGAAAGGAGGCGCGTGGAAAGAAAATGGCGATTAATATATGTGCGTGGCCAATGGTTCTGCCAAAGACAGGGAAGTATGAGTAGTAAGCAGGCCTATACTTTCTGTATGAAAAGTTTAGTCCCGCTAACTCATGCATCCCTCGTACCACCTATAACGGTACGGTATCAAAAGCTAACAAGGTAAAACAAAATAGAATAACTTCTTACTATATATACTATAGGGGAAATGTTGTAATTATACAGGAGATTGAAATCCAAAGACGGATTTTGAAGTTAAAAAATAGTTACATATATTAGTGAAAAAATGTTATCTAGTAAATTAATAAATCAGACCTTGAACTGCAGAAGCAAAACTTATTTAAAACTTGTATTGTAGGTACTAGTATTAATTACTGCGACACTATGTTAAATTCGAGGTTAAGTTGATCGTAGTAATAGGAAACATAAAAAGCTCCATTCAAATCATAACTTTAATTTTTATTTTCAGCAAGAAGAAAAAGATGTTGAAGAAGAGAAAGAAGCATTAGACAATAATGGTGATGATGATGATAAAGATGATTTTGAAGATTATGGTTATAGAGAAATGGAAGGAACACCTGTAACTCCTATTGAGTTAGTAGTCTCAAGTGATAGACTGTTAGAAAAATCTGTATTAGATTTAATATACATGCACGGAGAAAAATGGAAAAACGAATAAAGTAACTTTTACTACTTTAAAAGTAAAATTGGACCTGTCCGAAGTTTCTGCGCATCTCTGGCAACTTTTACTCGAAAAATAGTAAAATTGACTATTTCTGTAGTAAATTTTACTGTTTCCGTAGTAATTTTTACTATTTCTGAAGTAAATTTTACTATTTTTGGAGTAAAAGTTGCCAGAGATGCGCAGAAACTTCGGACAGGTCCAATTTTACTTTTAAAGTAGTAAAAGTTACTTTTTCTTTTTTTCCGTGTGCGTATGAAGCGAATATGCACTACAGGTATTGAAATCTAAGATACATGTATATTAAATTTAAAGTGACAACATGGCGGCTGTAGATGCCTATTTCACCAAACGGTCATTATTTCCTTGATATTGAAAATTTATTTGAAATTGAAACAACAGTGCGTAATTCTTTAACTATTGTGTTGTTTATGTCCAAATAATGTTTTATAAGGGGAAAATTTTTCAAAAAAAACATTCTAAATACAAGAATTTTAATACTTATATGTGACATTTAGGTTAAGTACTATAAATGTCAAATTATATGCATTTTTACAATGTAAATTGATTTAAACTTGTATTTACATGAAAGAAATTACTTTGCTTTATTAATAAAAACCTTATTTTGTACACAAGAACATGTATAAATTGAGTAAAATGCAATTTTTTTATTTGAATTTTTTTCAGTGACAAAATTTAATATACTTTGTATATGAATTACACTCTAATATACCAGTTTCTTAAATTTAAGTACTTTATGTATATTAAAACTACAAACATTTTTAACAGTGTATACAATAAATTTCCATTAAGTACTAAAGGATTTTAATTAATAAAAAATTAACATAATTTACATACACAAAAAAAGTTATAACTACTGTACGGTTTTATTAATTATAGATATTTTATGTATTATATTCTACAATTTGAATCACATATTATTATTAACGTCTAATACAATCCTTTTTAATATTTTTATTACTAAAATTTTGTAATTTAACATGATAATATTAAATAAATTTAAAAATTTAATTATGTTTATTATATTTTATAAATACAATTATGCCATATGAATTTCATGTCAAATGTGAATTATGTCAAATGAAATTTATGTCATATGAAATTTATGTCAAATTAATTTTTCGTCAAATGATTTGATATCAAGTGAGATTTATGTCAAACGAAATTTATTGGGGTTTAATCATGCGAGTCGTTAAATCACCCATCTTCAAAGTCGAGAAGTTCCAAAGAAAAACGTGTTGCAATCTAACAATATTGTATCTTTCATAAGTGGGTCTAATTTAAAATTTTGAAATGTACTTCATGAATTGAAATTCATTATACAAATATTTTAAAAAGTAATGGAATACAAAAATGAAAAATCAAGACCAAATGCTTTTAAATATAAAATATTGCAAACAATTTCAATATTTAGTTAAAAACAAAGTTTTTTAAAAAAATGTTTGCCATGTAACTATAATAATTGTAAGAACTCAATGTAAAAACGTGCTCATTCCAACTTTTGATAAAATAAACGAAAGATATTAAATTTTTTAGTACTGAAAAATACGTTCTTTATCAAAGAAAACAAATTTAAAATAACAAAAAAAGAAAATTTCACATAAAAAGGAGTGATTAACTCTACATTTCAAAATAATTATCAGTTATTAAAAAAGAACAGTATTATTCTTGACGAAAATAGTAAACTTATTTTAACACTCAACAACGAAGCATTGCAAGTTTTTACACAGGTTAATGTTATGAATTAATAATTTATCATCATTAAATTAAAATTTTTTTTTAAAAATAAATTATTATTGCATTTACAATAGAATATAAATTTACAATTTTTTATAAGAATTAATTGAATAAAATAATCCAAAAAGAACCGTACAAAAATTTGTCATTTATATCTTAGACAAAATGGGTCGGTGTCTAGCTATAATTCTCCCAGCTGTTTTTGTTTCATTTTTGATAGAGAATTCCATATCTTTACCAATTTATGGACTTCTGAATCCGGTAAGTTTTTATTTATATCACAAAAAAAAACTGAATTCATTATTGTCTTTCATTGTGAGTTTATTATTTGTAATTAAATTTAATTGATAGCAAACTTCACTTGGTTTACACGGTTTATTTAGAATTTGTATATAGCAAAACCTAAAATTTATAAAATA